GTATTGTACCTGGTGGTGGTGAAGCCACTTTACAAGTAACATTTAAACCTATTGACTWCTCTACAGCAATACTCAAATTGCAGGTAAATAAAACCTCACATTTATGAATTATTTWGCTATGATTTTGTCAGATTGCTTTGTCCATTTTAAGTTATATTCATCATTTCTGTGTCATTTCTATTCAGCTTTTGATATCACAGTTCAACTCAGAACCATTAGTRTGTACTTTAACTGGAACTTCTCAACCTGGACTTACTAAAAAGTTAGTTCCCTTCACTTTATTACAAGATCATCTAATTATCATGGTCTTTGTCTGACAATGATAAACAGAAAATATTGTTATGTCTTAAATTTCTTCTAGTAGTATCTAATCCATCTTATTCAGCTTTTCCATTTAGATTCCTTTCATTGCTTTTTGTAATCCAATATAATTGTTAATTTATAGGTCAAAAGAAATACCAAATACACCTGAAATATCAGCTTTTCCCACAAAAGAAATTCTAGACCCCTTACTGATAGACCCTTTAGGAAGGACAAGAATTAAGAAACTAAAGACAAAGCCATGGATCCCTGATGACCAAAAACCAAAGGTACATGATTGAAGAAAAAAATTGTCTTGTTAAAACTAATTGACTAAGACAACAAAGTGCCTGGTTAACAGATTTGGTACAAGACGAGAAAGGTTTTGGTATTTACAGATTGACTAAGATGATCACCATTATATGGTGGTGGTCATGGCTGCCAATCGGGGTACTGTTATGACAAACATGGAAACAAGCTGTGAAAGTGTGAGAAGTATATGATGTGTCATTTTCAGTACCCAAGAAAAATGCCATGTTTAATTGATAAAGTTGACCTAATTGAGATCTCATTTGAATCGTCTTTCTTACCTTTTCCCTTAGTCAGTAACTGTGGCATATATATCAGCAACTGACTTATTGTCAATAATAGTTGTCATTTTAAGGATGATGTTGACAATGAGTAATGCAGTCACATCTGTTTTAAAGAGCATGCTTTTTGTTATACCAGAATATAAGCAAGGATGGATATCAGATTCCATCATCCGGGAATATTAACAGTACTCATGCTGTATCTGCAATACTAAGTCAGCAGCAAGGCAAGCTAAAAGCAAAGGATATCAGAGAAGGTATGGACCAAGATCTCCCCTACCTAGTTGTTTCAGTTGTTGTACAAATTCAGTTTTGATTTGCACTGGAAGTTAAAGTATTAAGGCTCTGAACTAAAAAACAAGCAAAAAAAATGAAAGCAGGAACCTACGAATGTGTGGATAGTTGAATATTGATCTATTTTTGAAAATATTGATATTATAAGATGCAGTCTAAAAATGTATGGAATATTATACTACTTTATATGCAGATTGACTTTTTTAATCTTTCTTAAAGATGTATTGGAGTTTGGCACTCGAGTCATATTTCAGCTTTGATTCACTCTAATACCATGTGAATGTGAACATTGATGTTTTTAATACTGTTCTACAGCTGTTCAGTCAAATAAAGATCTAGTGGGCTCCTCCAAGCAAATGAAAGTAAGCACAATAAAGTACCTAACTGCTGAATGATCATTCTGACATTAAGTCAATTGTCAAAAATTCTTAGTTTTTGATTCTGACATATTTTGTGCTTCTTCCTTTTTACCGGGAAATAAACAGTGAACAATTATTTTTAAGGAAACTGTGTTTGAATATCAAGTACACCAAAATGTTCAGGAAGAGAGGCAAAACCAACTGAGATGGTAAAGTTGAAAACATTATTATCAATATTATTGATTTTGTGACAAACCTTGTTAGCAATAATTGTTGCTAATTTATATGAAAATGTGTTTTGTAGGTGTGTTAGATTAGGTGAGAATGCCTTGACTGATGAGTCCAAACATCACATTCAAGAAGAAAGACTTAGGGCAGAACAAGAGTATAAGGTATGTATGACCAAAACCAGCAGTACAAGGYATTGTAACCACCGAGAGTCTAGGTCACAGTAATTTAGTCAAGGCTTCAAAACTGGCTCTTTTTTCAGAAGTGCTGTCAAAATGCTATCATTAAACTAATTTTATAAGAGTATTAAGTTGCCTATGACTTGGAACAGTTGCCTGATATGTAAATATTAATGGATTATTGCCTCATTTCAAAGTTACCTGCACTTACACATTTACAGCTGTTCTTGAAAAGGTTGTCCACCAGCTAAAAAGACATTTCCAATGTTCCAATGACTTAGACTAAACTTACACTGTCATATAATAAAACATATCATCATGTTGCAACAAATTTCAGCTCAGTCGAGGTGATCCAGTGTTAGAAAATGAATTTGATAGATCAATAACTGGGTGCCAAACAAGACGAGTGCACAGACAAGCAACAGAGGTAATAGTCTTTTGTTGTATTGGTCGCTCTAGAGTTTGAGGTAAAGCATTTATTTTTCTTTTCTATTTCTAGGTGCCTCAACATCAACCACAATTTGATATGTTGGTTAATGATGAATGGAGTAAACGTTACATGGTTACCAAGAAATTTGTTCAAGCAGCTCGAAAAGTTAGTGAAATTTATAAATGAGACATTATTGAGGCAGCATTGTATGTAAAAAAGTAATATGTCCAAATCAGTCACTGGTCTAATTAATAATGGGAAATGACAATTTTTTTTATTGGCACAATGGTAATCAAATTATTAAACAACAAAAAGGAAAAAAATAGGGAGGAAAATACAAATTTTCTTGCAGTACTTTACACTTTTCTGTTTAATCCTAATGGGATTTTATTACACCCCTGCATGGTGACTTCCACTGTCAGGAAATCCATTTAGCCTTCCAAGATAAATAGTAATATTGTCCATTGTTTGTTTTAGATCATCATTCGTCTAAGGGCAACCAGAAATGCTCACTCACTTACAGATTTTGTGTCTGGTTGGAGAAAGGGCAAGTTTACTAAAGATCAAACTAGTAAGTAAATCAATGCAAACCTTAGCTAGACATACATTATTTACTGTATRCCATTGCTATTCATTTGTTAGTTGATTGATTATATTGACTAATAGGCAATTTGCAGCGACGCCATTTTGTGCAGCAAAGCATGATGGTTGTTGTAGTCCTCATACTTTTTTCATGTCTGCTAAAACAGCCCTTCTGAAATGTTTTTGCTTTTTCTAAGCCAAAATATACATGTATGTTGTTTTGCCGTTTCTACAAATGAGGCATAGAAAAGGCTTTTAAGGTGATTTAGGGTCTACAATAAGTCTGAGAAATATAACTATAATCAAACTTTACTGCATATGATGAGGAAATAGTTGATTGATTGGTTGATGATCAATTAATTAATCATTGAAGTGATGATTGATTTGTTCAATGCTGCTTCATAGGGAGTCAAATAGCAGAAAGTGAAGAAGAGAGAATTTTATGTAGAATACCAACAACATTCGATCCAGCACTTGTACATCCATTCTCTTTACCTGCCTACAAATCACCAGATACAAAAGATGACTTGGTAAGGTGGCACAACAATGTCATATTGTCTCTCTAAAAATCACTTTTACTTGAAACAATCATTTTAATTATAATCTCTAAAATGATACCTTGATTGCTTGTACAGGATGTTGATGCACTTGGAGTGCTAACAGTACAGCCGACAGGAGTGAAAGTAAAATCCCATGTTCCATTTCATAACTTAAAGGTAATGCAAACAATATCAGACTATGAATAAATTCAAGAGCTACATTTTTTCCCTTTATCTCCATGAAATATCACACTAAATTCCCTGTTCCGTTTGTACATTATTTGATATGTAATATTTAGCATTCATGTCATTATTGATTTTACTTTAAAGGTTCCTAAACAGTACAGTTTACTGGGATATAACTCACACTCGGTCATTGGTTCATCTAGTGGATATGTACCTCCAAATCTAATGCGAACACTCAGAATAGGGGCACAGGTAGGAAAACTGACCCATATAGTCATTGACGGCATGTCAATCTTGTCAGAACCATGCCAGTCTTCGAATAGTCTCCATATAGTCATTGACGGCATGTCAATCTTGTCAGAACCATGCCAGTCTTCGAATAGTCTCCATATAGTCATTGACGGCATGTCAATCTTGTCAGAACCATGCCAGTCTTCGAATAGTCTCCATATAGTCATTGACGGCATGTCAATCTTGTCAGAACCATGCCAGTCTTCGAATAGTCTCCATATAGTCATTGACGGCATGTCAATCTTGTCAGAACCATGCCAGTCTTCGAATAGTCTCCATATAGTCATTGACGGCATGTCAATCTTGTCAGAACCATGCCAGTCTTCGAATAGTCTCCATATAGTCATTGACGGCATGTCATGTCTTGTCAGAGCCATGCCAGTCTTTGAATTTCAAAGGAAAGAACAAAAAAGCAGGGAAAACCAAAAACAGTCCTAGATCATCAACTATTTTGATATTGCCGTTTTGTGGAGAAAATTTGAGTCTTTTGGGTTTCTGAGACCATACTCAGGCATAGGCCACCCAACCATTGCTCGAGAGAAAGAAAAGAACAAATGTGCACGCTTTTATTATGTCATTGCATCGGCGCACGCTCAAAACCCGTATTTTTCTTGAGAGTGTGCGCCGATGCAAGCATTCGTTCTTTTCTTTCTCTCAAGCAATGGTTGGGTGGCCTATGACTCAGGTAGAGGCTACATTGGAGGCACGTAGTTGAGCAATCCTGCTTGCTGAAAATTTGAGCCTAAATTTGTGACCAAGAGAAAAATATGTGTCTGACAAAAAGAGATGAAATTGATCTCAAGCGTTTTGGTTCTAGGATGAGTTAGTCAATTTGCCTAGTGCAGCACCAATTCCTAATACAACAAGCCAAACAAGTCCTGGCCCAGAAACAGACGATGAAGAAAATGTTGATATCAAAGATGGCACCACCAGCCCAACCGCAAAGTGGCCRGTACCAGATGTGATGACAGTGGATACTGTGGCAGAGGCTGCCCCTTTGGTAGTACCTGCTGCAATGTTTAAACCCATTAACTACCACCCATTGCACATATTTGTAAGTTAATAATCATTTTTACCATCTAAAAAAATGCAGCCAAATATCTTATGAGCATTTCCAGGGGAGACTGGTACCCACCCTCAGATGACTTTGTACCGAATCCTTCCTGTCTTTTGTTTTGTTTTTGCAATGAAAGACAAATTTAAGGATGATGATGATTGCTAGAGTTTTCTGCCTCATTTTGTTGATGTATAGTTTGGTCACTATTATCTATTTTCTGATGACTTTAGAGTTTACCAACAAAATGTTTTTTGTATGTATGCACTTCAACATACCCTAAAGGTATTTCGATTGTCATGTGTTTGCTCTCAGAACCCTGCTCCAGGCTTGCAGGTCTTCAAACCAATGCTTCCTTATAGTGAAGTAGATGAAGACTACCATGTTTGTCCATTACCACAATACAGACAGCCAAACAGAGGTACCAGTGGTAAACCAGGCCGACGCTACCTTGAGAGACAGGTATCAATTACATCTTAGTACAATGAAGATATACCAACCAAAGGCATAGCCAAAGGAAACAAGAAATTATTAATGATTATTAATATTAATTAATTCATTATTATTATTCGTTGATTAGTCATGGTAAGTTATTATTTGTTAATGACTGCTTTCTCGTTATTTCAGGATGTAATACCTGGTGTCATGACTTGGAAACGGTTTCCATGCCATCCTTTGGTATCCATGGTGAATAACCCTACTCTGTCAAATGTATGGCTTCCGAGATGGTAAAGCAATAATTGTCTTTTCAACTCAATGATTTGTGTTGAAGTTTATGAAATAAAAGCAAAACTAACTTATAATGATCATTTAATCACAGGACAGACCCTTTCAGTGAAGACCTTCTACCGACTGAAGTCCCTCCACTCCTGGACGGCTTACCAGAGGATGACGTCGTTAGCGATGATGAATTGTAAGTTTCAGTTAACAACGTTATACAGTATTACCTCTATTAAGCGGTCACCATCGGGGCGTTGCAAAGTGGAATGTTAAATAGAGGTTTGCCGGCGAATGGAGATATAAATGGCGAACTTTATACTGTGGGAGCCGAATAGGGGGTGGCTGTTTTAATGAAGGGAACGCTTTATCGTGGATAAAGTCCCTCCACCAAATAAATACTCGTATCTTCTGAAGCTGTAAAAAAGGAACTCATGAAAAAATAGTGAAAAAATTCAGATTTTAAAGAAAAATCACTGACTGRAAAACTGGGAATACGGAACTCTTCCTTCCTTCTCAAAGTTCATAAATTCGAAAAAAATGTAGAGAATCATATATAGCTATAAATAAGATCACGGCACTCACTTCTATTCTATCCTCTAAGGATGAGAGATTTTTTGGGACTTAATGTCTTGGAACTGGGTATTTTATTTTGCAGTGACGAAGAAAATGGTGACTTAATTGAAGTTCCTGTTCCAACTCCCGAAATGGTACGCGCCCAGTTTCCAACAGCTGAGAGTATTCTTGGTGACCAAGAGCACCCACCCGCCCAGCTGAGGTAAACTTTGTCACGTGACGTTTCAAATTTCTATTGCATTGATTGCTATTTCTGTTCTAATGATGATTTCTATTATTTCATAGTGATATAACGATGCCAACTAATTCTAAGCAAGCGGCCGCTGGTGCAGCATCAAGCGCTCTTGTTTCAAGGTAGAATTTTTACAGTTTAGCAGAGCTTAGCATCACTACTGCATCACTATCAACATTTCGCTCAGAGTAAATTTCGTTCCGTTTACTATTCAAGCTTATACCAGGATCGTGATGTATTTTTGCTTTTTGATCTCAAATTTTAATCTATAATCGCAAATTTGGTCTCTGATCCCCAATTACATATGTCACAATGCTGGCAAACATTAATGTTAATATATATATGTGTCGACTAATCAATCACAAAAAAAAACATTTAAACCTCATTCGAAAAAATGTTGCATTCAGAAAAGACTTCCTCACTCAGTAGTATTAGGTAATACATCCTGATCGACCTGATCACGGAACAGATTAGAGTGAAACTGCACTGCGTTTTCGCCCTTTCCTCGATTTGAAATTTACCCCTTTACTATGGAATTTTGCTCCAGTTTTCAGCCTAGTGATTTTATTGACCGACGGAAAGGTATTGCGTCGTTTCCTTCCTAATGAACTTTTTACCTCTTCCACAGAGAGCAGCGTGAAAAGGAACTCGACGACTTCTTACGTCAAAGACAAAATCGTCTCGGAACCAAAATTGATCAGCGAGTCAACTCCATGCATGAGCTGCTCAACAACCCAGACCTTGCTTTAAAGTAAGACAGAGAAGGTGTCCAGCATGGAGACGGTAGATCACTGTTGGTTATTTATATCATTATTTCCCGATTAGGGTTATTTACAGCACATGTAAAAAGGTTTTGATATTGTTATATATGTATTATAGATTATTTGAATTATTAAATTGACACCAAGTTTCAACAGATGTGATCTTTATCTTCGTTTGTGGCCGCCCTAATAGTCAACTTTAAATATTTTGGTTCGATGACTATGTACAAAAGAACGCACACGAGGCTCCGGAAATACAATCATTCATAATCTTGATTTATTCTTTTATTTCCCCGGAGCCTCGTCTGCAATTCGTTTGTACATGGTCACTAAACCAAAATATCTAAAGTCGGCTATTCAAACCCCTCATAGTCTAGTCCCATCATGCATGCAGGGCACAGGAGAGGTTCTTTCGCTATGACACAACACAAGACAAACCCTAGGCGYAAGTCCAAACACAAGCAGGAAAAAAAATGCCCAATAAAGCTAGCCAAGCACATGAAAGGTCACGCAAACAACAGATATGGCTTACATTGGTATGTCTAGCGCGATTACTGATAAGCCAGATCAGAGAGCAGTAGCACTTTATAAATCATCTTGCCCACGGCCGTAGGCACGAGGAAAACAATCACATCTAGTCTATTAAACCCAGACTGGGACTTGTCTTTTATAATCTAACCTTTAGCATTGAGCGCCTTCATCAATGAACATTTCGACATAAAACAAAAACATTGTACATTGTAGAACAGACCAATAACGCTTATAACGTGTCAAAACTTCCGTCATCCGTTTTTGGGGTTATCCTGATAGCAGAGGAATTTTTCAAGAAGGGTTGGAAAKGTTGGAAAAATTCCTCTGCTCGCACKGTGACCCTAAAACGGATGACGGAAGTTCTGCTCGCAGGGTATGTTAGTGTRTTATTTTTAAAAACTACCAAGAAACTTTGCGTTATATTGGTCGTCGTGGAAAAAATGAACTTCGGTCAGTTCGGATAAATAGAATATCCGGGAAAGTTTAAGATTGACAAAAATAAATGCAATGTTTCGTGCGGGAAAGCAAACACTTCCGGAGGATTTCTCTTTCACCCCTGAGAAGCAGATGTTGTAGTGGATAAAATATTCCGCRCTGTAAGAAGTTACGGTGTTGCGTGACACAATTCAAGAACCAACTCATTTTCGTTCTTAAATTTTTAATAAAACACTTAGTTATAACATTTAAAGCTTACATCACTATTGCTTTTGAGGGATAGAAATATTTCATATTTTTGTGACCTTCACATGAAACAAGAGAAGTTTAAGTTAAGAAAAAAATGGTAACCGCGAAGCTGTCTGCCTGGACTACAGTACACATTTCTCTACTGAATTAAATTGGTAATCATGTCACTAAGAGTTGTCTTTTTACAGTGAATTGAATCTCTTTGAACTCAGCTATCTTTTATCGTTTTATCTATAATTCTTGTCTTTCCCCATCTATGCATACTTTGAATCAGTTCCATGATCATCCAGACAAATTGTCTTTGGGTCTCCAAACTCAGGAAAGTTTTCGCATTGCATTTTGTTAGGCCAGGGGAAACCGTATTTTCGCATAACGGGCARACAACCAGTTCTTGCACGCTCGCACAGCGATCGACAAGGAGGTATCTCTTTGCTGTAATGTTTCTCACAAATCGGAGCATAGATGCTACACAGAAAGAGCCTTAAATCAGGACTACACTGGATCTCAACGAGAGGCCAGAACKGRTGAASTTCRAGAGCTGCTTCGGCCTGTGTATCGTGGTTTAGTAAGTTTGGAAAGTAGGTTAAATTATAGCCGATTCCACGGCACATTGGGATGCTGATTTCTTCGCATTTCATCTCTTTTGATGATCCGTGATGTAAGCACAGCAGTATAAGTGATGATATAATAATAGTGATTGGAACAGTCGCCATGATTTAGTGTGGGCCAGGAAACATGTAAAAAACGAGGGCGGGTAATCTTCGAGTTACGCGCTTCGAGTTACGGGCTTCGAGTTACGCGCTTTTCGAGTTACGCGCTCGATCACGCCCACATTTGTCTCGGCCACGCCCAGCGCATAACTCGATGCAACTAACATACATTAGTTTCTTCGAGTTACGCTCAATTTACCCTAGCCAACCAGAACGGGTCTTTATATCTCTTATCCAACGGCGGAATTTTCCAAATATGGTCATAACGTTCGTTTACGAATTTTTAATGAGCTTTGAATATTCAGACGCTTAATTTGGTACTAAAGAAATGTACAGGTGCAACACGTTCCAAGTCCCTTTATAGGTATGTGCTTTGGGATGGATGAACATGTTTGTTTGTACTGTGATGTTATTGCCACTATTTTATAACAATGTTTGCTTATCAAGGCTGTCTCGAATATTTGGTGACATATCCTCCGAATCAGCCTGTCATGAGATTGGTCTTGATAAGTTCCCACGTCAGCCAATCAGCGTGAATCCAGAGTCAACGGTAAAAGATGTAATGATCAGTTGTGTAAAAAGATAAATTTAACACCGTAAAAAAGTAGGTGAAATAACTTACTACGGTGTTAAATTTATATTTTTACACAACTGTTTCTTTAGAAACACCCACGCAGCTCAAACTAGTTTACCGCTAGTTCCCACCGATGTAATGATCAGCCTGTAGAAAACTGTTAAATCATGCCAGTAAACTATTTCATTCTCCTAACTGAAACTTCCAACAGAAAATCTCCCGCAACACATTAAATGTGATTAGCCAATATAAAGAATTCAAAATGTTTAAATTTCAACTCGGAAGAATTTCGGAGATCTTCTTAATATACTGTCTCACTCTGGTTTCGTCAAATTTCCTTTCCGAAAGTAATTTTGGGAGGGACAGGAAAACTACAACTATGGCAAAACTGAATAACTTGTGCCATCGGCCGTCTAGGCACGAGTAATACAACTTTGCTTTGCTTGTTTTTGTTCTTTTGTTTTTATTTTATTATTTTTTATTGACTTTTTTACTTCCGGGAGGTACCGACCACTCGTAATAAAATCTTTGTGCAAAATGTTTGTCGTTCACGCCTTTGTACATAAAAAAATATCGAAATACTGAAAACGATACCTACACAAGGTGTCTGACGTCATAGAGAAAGTGCTGGCATGGGCTTCCTGAGGCTCCCTACCCACAATGCATTGCTCTAACATCGGAGACATCTCGAGACAAATAATATGGAGAAAACGTTTTTGATCCTTTTGATTTCAATATATTTATGTATCCAGTGTGTTCACTCTACTGACGAGAAAACTAAGAAATGTAAGTACAAAATACAACGTATTGGCTTCAACCTTCAATGTTTCTCGGCGGAAACAATTACAATGGGACATTATCATCGCCATAAATAGAATTTCTGCCTTGTGTTGWCAAAAAATTGCTTATTTCCACTTGATACGGTTAGGATCTTTAATGTTTTAAGATCAAAACGAAGCTATTTATTCTGTATAAGGTTTTGCATAATATTTCTTTTTGGGGAATTCATGTTGACAAGGAAGGCTATACGAATAAAGTTCAGTGTCGTCGTCATTTGCGGCAGTCAAATCTACACATAAGTTATAGCTATCACTGTTTGTAAACTTTAATGTTTCTTGAATAAACCTGTTGTAAACCCATTATGTGTTGACTGTGATAGAAAACTTTAAAATTCCTTTAAAATTCTGGGCGGACTCTYACGCATTATAATATTTGTGTATTGTACAAAACAATGGTTTTTAATCATAATATAACTTAAGTAAGCTCTATGCTATGTAATCTTTTATTTTATCAAGTCTAATTACGTTGACTTGACTATTTGACTCATTTTCAATTATGATCCACTGTTAACATTTAACTTTTAAAATTTTCTTCATTTTCAGTAAATGCAGAATGTAACAAAAAGTCCAATGGTACTTGTGGACCATGTGTAGGAATCGATGGGGTAATGACAGTTATAGCCTACATAACAAAATTGTTGTTAGACCATGCTTGCTGTGAATGTGAGAGAAGTATTTCATTTATGCTTCCTTGGGGTTCTGACTTCTCTAAAAGTGCTCTATGTTAAAAAACACTATGTTAACTCTATGATTACAAGGTGTTCTGAGACTAGGATATCAAAAAATGATGCAACACACTCACATAGAGGATATTACATGGGCGCACAGAGATACGGATTTTATCTTGAAAAGAAAAGATTTTAGTGTTGAAAAGATCTCTCACAAGTGAGCGTAGCGATTTTCAACACGAGAAGNTATTTGCTTGATGCACTCACTCGTGAGAGATCTTTTCAACACTCGATAAAAACCGTATCTCAGCGTGCCATGCAATATCCTCTATATATCCACAGGATATTGTCTGTAATATAAATATCTAGAAAATGACAGTATTACCTTAGTGCCAGCTCCTAAAACTYAAATTGAAACTGAACTTGATTTTGAAATGTTTTTTTTTTAGTGTTCCTACTGTGTGCCCACCAAGAAATGTACTGCAACGGATTTAGTCAAAGACACATTTCATGGAAAWTGCCCTGACAATCAATGGAAAGTTGGACAGTGTGTCTGTAAGTCTAACAATATGGCTGTCTTTGCACTACCCAAAATTCTGCTAGAATATCTGTCAATATTAGCCATTTACTGAATTTCTAAAGAGCACCTGCCCTGTCTTGGAGGAAATTCCAAAATTTAAATTATATGAACATGTATCCTGGTTCCAGAGGCTTGTCTTTTATTTTTTTTGTTTACTACTATGTTATCAAGCTGCGAAGGGATAAGATGTTTCCTCACTTTCATGCTGTATTTTAGCGAACCAATCACAGACATTTTAGCTGTCAAGCATGTCAAATAAACGAACCTAAAGGCTCATCACAGATRATATTACTCCAATCTGTGATTGGTTTGCTAAAATACWGGCTTRYSGTATTAACAAACTGAATAACGAAAACGTCTTGCCTCTTTCAGCTCGATAACATAGTAAGCAAAAGAATAAAAGAGAAGCCTCTAGAACCAGGGTAATAAACATGGTGAATTTTCTTCTACAGTTACAGGGAAAATCTTAATTATTGTTTTGCCATCTGTTGCCGGTGTCATACTCATTGCGTTGTGCTGTTGCATCTACTGCTGTTGCTGTCGTAAGAAGAAAGGAGGTTCAAAAAAGTATGTACTGCTTAAGTCATAAAAAAAATTATGTTCAWKTGTATCTTWAAATGAATATTGGCAACAATAATGTAGACCATTTTACATGCAGAATTGATGTACTCTGGTTATTGCTGTTTTCTCCTTTGATGCTCATATTATTTGTGTTTGTATTTTTTAGAGAAGATAAGCAAGATGCAAAATACAGACGCAAAAGAGAAGAAATTGATATGAAACATGCTCAAAGGTAATGTTCACTTGTTAGTAAAAAGCAAATGCATATGTGTTGTTCAAAGGATAATTTTTATAAGAAACAGTCTGACTCTGAAAAGATCCTTTTTTTTCATTTTGTTCCTGTACTGGATCCTTATTTTTTTTATWATCTTCAGGCGAGCTGAAAGACAGGTCAAGTATGATGAGATTCGCAAGAAATATGGTGAGGAACTTAGCTATTGTACAAGAAAGATTGTTTTAGAAAATGGAGGATGTTATAAATATTTTTTTTGAGTTTTTTTTTAGCCCTTCAATTCAGCTTTTTAAATTGAAAATCTGTTAAACTCATGGTATTGAATTGAAATAATTTCAACAGGTTTGTACAAAAATGGAGAAGGAGAAGAGGATGGCCGGTACCATCAGTTTTCCAATGAAGCTTGAAAACAAGTTTGTCATGGTAGACACAGTGCTTGATCACATTTTGATGAACAAGACTCTCATTTTGTACTTAACTCAAATCTATTCTATTGCAATGTAACTGTGAATCCATGGATGTTTGCTCAATTTATAACTGTAGTCACAGAACAACATGGCTTTAATCTTTATGTAAACAAGTAATTCTCAGAGATGTTATATGAAAAAATGACTGTACATAGTTTTCTGTATTATTAGTTATATCAGTTAATTGGTGGAAGGGAAATATGAAAAAGAATGCCTTGTTTTAATAAAATTTTGAACAACAAATTACCTAAAGTGTTCTGCAAAGACTTTGCCCTCTTTTTGGAAAGCTCTGTTTTTGACTACAATATATTGCTGGGCTGGTGACATCATTTGGCATATCTTTGATTCACAGCTGTCACAATATATATAGTCAAAGAATTAGGATGAGCATTTCTTTAAACGTTGTACCAGAGTGGTCATTTTGTAGTGGCATCAGTGGTTTTTGTGACATATTTTGAGTAAATTTTCAGTGTTATAGCTGTGGGTATAGTAAGCTGATACATAGAGTAATTACAAAACTGAATATTTATTTTCTGATTGCGCTACTTTGTACAAACTATTTTAATATAGTAGAGTGGCTTATAGTAGTGGCAAAATTGGTAATAAGTGACATATTGCAGTCTCTGCAGATTTTCTTAAATGTCTAAGACAATTGTCTGTCATAGATTCCTTTCATAAGGGTCTCACTGATTGTCAAATTAAAAAAAAAAAAAAAAAAGATTGTCAAATTTTACTATCCCCCATTACTTACCTATTTTATTGCAAAATATTAGCTTTTTTTTGTAGATTGACATGATAATGTCACTGATAGCCCATAGACATGGTATGAAACAGAATGATATAGTGAACTGGGATAGTCAAAATGATACTAAAATTATTGTAACCTTTATAATTGTTCTTCACTAGTTATAAATGATTTAGATAATATCTATATAAACAACCAAAAATAGTATTCACAGATTTGCAAGCTACAATCTAGTAATTAAATGTTTACTATAATGTTTAGTTCATGAAACACTATTTAACTTATTTTTCTACTTTTATTTTGTTGTTGATTTGACATTTCCAATAATTTGTAAATATTACTTTAATTTTTATAACAATTAATGCATGTCAAAATTAAGAATACACAGGACAACTTGTACATTGTTTTGTACAATTTAATGTTTTAAGTCATTGCATTAGTGGAAATAAATTTTATGACAGAAAAAATGTTTGTGTATTATGTACAATCAGAATCCGCTCCATTATATTGAAAGTTGAAGAAGAGTGGAGATGAATCTTATATCTTCTTAAAGGGTAAGGAATACWAGGTCAACAATATGGGCAGATTCAGTTGGTGGCTGCAAGGGGCGTGCACCAAGTCCTGAGACTTTGGACCTTTAGTCCATCATGTTCATGTCACAATGGAGACAAGAAAATAAGTAAAAGTATTGAAGGATCGTCTACTACAGTCAACTCTCTCGTAAACGACCACCTCAGGATCAGGAAAAAGTGGTCGCTTACGAGAGATGGTCGCTTACGAGAGGTTTTTTTAAAGAGTTTATATGGGAAACAATTATAACGGGAAATGTAAAAAGTGGTCGCAAACGGGATATGGTCGCTTACGAGAGTGGTCGTTCAAAGAGAGTTAACTGTATTAATATTTAAGCGTGGATTCACTAGCGCAGAAGCATAGGCATAAGCACGAAGCACGGGCGTCATATGCACCAGTGAGAACGGGCTCAAAATAAGCATAAGCATGAGCACAAGAAAAACGAGCAAGGCTTGATCTTCTTGTGCCTATCTTATGCTTGTCTCATGCTTATGCTCTGTGAGAACGGGACTGCATAGGCATAAGCATAGTCTGGTACTGAAGTAATAAGCTCGTGCGCATGCTCAATTTCTTATGCTTATGTCGAGCCCGTTCTCACTGGCGCATATGATTCTCATGCTTGTGCTTATGCTATGCTTATGCGCTAGTGAAATAATCCACGCATTAAGGAGGGGGTGCGAACCCTACACCCACCATGTTTGGATCCTCCCCTATGATATTTTATACCATGGTTTGTCCAGATTTTCAACACAGAACATTTCTTTTCATCTAAAAAATACATGTATACGCTTGTTTAACTCTTTGCTGTCAATAGTGATTTCTGAGATGTGCATGTATGTGCTTTATAAAATATTGCAGTCACATTAAGCAAGTTGGATGTACAATTTTTGGCGAAAAAAAACAAACAAGTCAGTTCATGCATGGTTATGTAATATAAAATGCAATCATGTATGATGGTTTGGTAACTTTTACCAAACGTCCTAAAAACAAGATAAAAAATTTACTCTATTCAAAATTGTTGTCTGCTCTGTTCTCGCGTTGTACTGTTGAGCCCGCAATTTCCTTTTGGTCAGTGGTATATACCCACTCGGCGTCTTTGACCGGGTTGTTTTGTTGAATATTTTGGTAAACTTTGTGTTTTTGTCCAATAACTAAATGAACAAACATGGAGGCCTTCAAACAGAGGTACTTGAGAATATGTCGGGACATCCAAGTATTTCCTCTAGAGTGCGTAATGAGCCAACTCTCACAGGAATTCATCGAAGAATCGAAAACGCTAGATTTGTCGTCGTACAACTTGACTCCTGAAGACTGCCATGCATTGTCCACGACTTTAGCGGATGACCTTTTTTTCAAGGAGCTAGTATTTTCTGACTGTTTGCTAAGTGAAGAGTCATGCAAACTTGTCCTCTTGGGCCTGATGCCAAATCGATCAATAACAAGTTTAAACTTAAAAGGAAACAATATCCGTTGCGGAGGTGCCGAAGTTCTTGGCCAGTTTCTGAAGAAGAATACAAGCGTGCATAGTTTACGACTTGAATGGAATTCTTTAGGTAAACTATGAAAAATATTTTTATTAATTAAAATCACGTTTTCTAAAATAGTTTTTAGTCAAATTGAAAATTTAGCGCATAAAAAGTGGTATGATAGCTTCTTGATCATTGTTTGTTTCACCAGCTTGTMTGTGGGAGGGAGGGGAGGGGAGGAATGTTGTATGTTTACATCAAAAGCTAGAAATATAAATTCAAAATGGTATATAGAGAGTCAGTTTGGGTGGGTTAGCATTCATYTTTTATCAAGGCTTATGTGCCACAATGCATGAGGAGGATAGCAACTAACGCCATTCATATTAATTATAAGCAAAGTGCCTGATTTTAGGGATTTCATATAAAATGATGAGAATTATCATGTTGTAATACTGTTGAGCGGGAATATAGCAGCAACATTTCATTTCAGTGTTTACCATTTGGTAGCATTTTTGAAATTACTCATATAAAATATCAAATACGTTATACATAATTCAATTGGATATTATAGGTTTGTGGGACAGTGGCATAGAAACTCTAGCTGAAGGACTAGCTCTAAACCAGACTCTTATGATTCTTGACTTGAGAAACAATCAAATAACRCATGAAGGAGCTGCTCACTTAGCTGCCGCTTTGAAGAGAAACCAAACTCTAAAAGGACTTGATCTCAGATGGAATAATTTAGGATTATTAGGAGGAAGGGAAATTCTGTCAGTATTCAAGTACAACAAATCCCTGACATGCATTGAACTTACAGGTATTACATTATACTTTCCCATTAAACGGTGTTTTACATTTGGTTTTGAAAAGTGTTTTTGATGAGATACAATACAATATAAAATAGTGTTTCATGAGGTATAATTTCTCAGTGACATTTGCAAACCATGGAAACAGGAAGTCTAGTTTCCATGGTTCCCTAGAGCCTGAAAGGGAAGTGAGAAGGATTCTAGATCTTTGAATAAATGAGATAGCCAGAACGCCAGCCTTATAAATAGTAATAATTTTTGTGGGGTGCATCCCCTCCTGAGAACCCTGAACCCCTCCAAATGATTTCTTGAACTTATATTGAAATGATTCATTGTGTTACAGGCAACAACATTCCCCAGGATATCCTCAAAGCTGTGTTTCTWGCTGCAAAACAGAATTTTGATGTTCAGTCATTAGATGAAGAGCATTGCAACAGGACAGAAATGATGGCAAGAGAACTGGAAAAGGCTGAAAACATGAAAATGAAAGAGGTTTGTRGATGAAAAAGAAGAATAACCAGGCTGGGTTCCTGTATGGTAGAACTAGTATTGATCTAGGAGGGCAATATTTCTTCCTTCACAAATAACATTGYTTGCGATTGTTCATAATACATCAATTATTTTCCTATTTTTAATTTTCAGGTTCTTTCACTTAGAGATGAAATGGCTAAAGAGCGCACCCAACATGAACAATATTATAACACAACACAAGACAGAATAAAACAACTAAATGACACACTAAATGAAAGAAAACAGACATTCGATAGTCTCTCTGCCAAACTTTCTGCCACTGAGTCAGAGCTTTCTTTGGCTGATAAAAAGTGTCAAGACTTAGAGAGTTTGTGTTTGAATCTCAAAAATGAACTGCATTCAGAGAGAGAACAGAGAACAAATGCCGAGCTTCAACACCACAAASAAATGAACAAAGTTTTAGAGAGGAATATTGAACTTGAAAGTAATGTTAGTGCTATGGAGAGAAAAAGCAAAGGTTTAGAAATTACTGTCAACAACTTAGAGAAAGAAATTGAAAAAGTTAGCGCTGACCACAAAGTTAAAAGTGAAGAAAGTGATAGACTCTTTAAAGATGAGTTGCAGAARACAAAGCAACGTCTTGAAAAGGAATTCCAAGAACTTCATCWCAAGATGTCAGCAAGCAACCAGACGTCACAAGAAAAACTCCAGAAATTTGAAGACCAAAGGCACTTGCTCGAGAAGGAATTGAGCACTTTAAGGTCAGAGAACATGAAYATTAAGTTGGAAGCTGATGAGGAGCTTATGCATGCCAAAGCTAAGCTCAAACAAGAAGAGATGATACGTTCACAGCAGTATGAAGAACGCATAGCATTGATGCAATCTTCTCGTGATGAACTACAAACCCAGGCCATGAAGCAGCTCTCAGAGATATCACAAATCCAGACACAACTAAGTTCTGTTACACGRGAGTGTGAGTCCCAGAAGAGGCAACTTGAGTCTTTGAAGCAGCAGATGGATCACAAGGATTCTGAATATAGACAAGAAATAWCTCATCTTAAAATGGACCTCGATGCAGCAAGGAAGGAAGCTGCAGCTCAACGAAATGTTGTGTCAAATTTGGAAGAGAAAYTCGCTGACGAAGACAAAAGGCACAGAGAAGCAGTAAATCAGAAGGACAAAGAAATTTCGTTCCTCAATGAAAAACTAAAAAATAAAGAGAGTGAGCTAAAACGTCATCAGGATGAAGAAATCAAGCGAGCTGAGATGTTYGAAAAAGCAATTTATAGTTTTGTTTCAAGCACTAAAACTGGTTCACATTAACTACAATATGTGTGTGTGTTTGTTATATTTGTGTGGACACTTTTATAATACTAGAGCAGAGTCACATGAACCATGAAATAAGAACTAAAAAGTACTAACTAATAGGGACTATTAGTTCCTAATAGTCGTTAGCACTGAACCAGAACAGTTTATTTGATCCAATAAGCAATACCCAAGGGACCACTTTAACAATCAAAGTAATCTCATTGTACTGTTCTGGTTCATTGATAGTGTCTAAATAGTGCCTATTAGTTACTAAGTATTTAGTTTCTATTTCATGGTTCAAGTGACTCTGCTCTAGCTTTATAAAAAAATGTTAAATCATTTTCTTTTTAAGCTATTATTAATATTCTGTAAATGAAGCACTTAATTGATAATAGGAGGATATTTTTTTCGTATTTTTACCATATCCTTCAAAATAATACAAATGTTTGTCCAAGACAACTGCACTTTTCTATAATATCATGGAATCTATATAAAATTTTACATCTAAAGTATAATTTTTTAAAGCAAAATACGGTTTTTACTGTTTATATTTTTAAGCTAAATAACAATAAACTATAAGAGTGATATCAAAGTTGCAGATTATTGACTTCACATACTTTTTGATGGGACATTTTTTATGTTCGCCTTATGCGTAGCTAAGCGTGAAGAGGCGAGGTGAATCCAAAACAATTTTACAATAAACATCTTKACAGTTTGAAACCACAAGACAAAACTGAAATCCACACTCCCRTGCCTAGCTGCTATCAGGTCATAATGCAAGAAGGTGTTAGTAAATTGGGGCTACAGCCCTTGTTTTATTCCCCAACTACATAGGCAATGATMCCAATATTGTACTGGCATATTTTGTTTATAAATTGAAATTTGCTTGGAAAACAAAATAAATGCTTTAGAGCAAGTGCAGGAAAACCAAAAAATAAATAAATAAAATAGAACTAAATACTTACAAATAGTGGCTATTTAGAGATAATTTGTCAGTATCYATGAACCAGAATGCAATAAAGATGAATAAAAAATGGTCCAATGTGGATTCATCGTCATTGTGTTCTGGTTCATTGATACTGACAAATTGTCTCAGAATAGCCGCAATTTGTTAGTATTTAGTTTAATTTTATTTCATGTTTTTTCTGRGTTTGCTCTATAATTTTGTTTTAATTCATAAGACAAATGCAGTAAGTTGCTTCAAAATTTTATTTCATTAAAGTTAAGCATATGCAGCAAGGCTACCAGCATTTGCGATGCATTCATGTGGCCTTCAGGTTTTCCATATTAGACATTATAAAGCACTCTTAAATGGACCCCAAATTTTCAAATACTAGACTGTTTTATACAATATGTAAAATTCAGAAATTATTTAATTTTTATATTCACAATATCCAGTAAAAAAATCTTATTATGACATTTTATTCTATCCCCATAGCTTTAAGAACCAGCAACCCAGATAAAAAACAGATTTCAAATTTTTAGTAAAACATTACATCACCAAAGAATGATGAAAATTTGTGAATTCAGAGCCATTTGTCAAATTCCCATTTCTGTCTRAATTTTGTTTTGGAACAAATCTCCATTTGGACTCTGTTGTCAGTCTCAGCAACAGCTAAACATAGTCCAGTTGCTGYGTGATAGAGCATGCCTTTATTCTGAAAAAAGGAACAAAATAAAACAGTTGTTAAAACTAGATTATTTTGAATTGTTTTAAAAAGGTCTATGTAATCGTATAGACACAGAATACACCAATTTATAAAAAATAAATGTTGATAAAAATGTTTAATTTGATATCAATTTGTTTAACAAAAGTAGACTGAGCAGTGCTTCTCAAAAGCCTTCTCTGTACCAGGCTCTGGAAATCAGGTTGCTAATATACAGCTTGTCTCTCTTTCTTTCCATTCTTCTCACTAAACAGTACTCTTGGGCTTCCTGTCTTTCTCATTATCTCATGACTGAATATATGAGGCGGGTTTGTAGTACGTATTCCTTATATGGTACAAACTAACAAGCGAATAGAAGCACCTAACAAGCGAATAGAAGCACCTAACAAGCGAATAGAAGCACCTAACAAGCGAACAGGGGTCCATACTTTTTTTCACTTGTATATTTTTCTACAGTTTTTTATCGACTTATTCGAACTTTTTAGCTACGCCTTAACTTGTTAAAAATTTTCTTATCGAATTTTAACTTAGAATTATGAATTTATGGAATACGTACGACAATCCTTACTCAAATATATCATAGAAATCCCAAAAAGGCAGAATATTGCCTGGGAATGAGTTCATGCAACTGGTTCTTATTTCATACCAAAGTTTAAAACAAAGTCAATAAATGCATACCTCTAGATATTTCCACTCTTGATTTCCACCCTCACCATGGCATTTCATGTTTCGAATACTCTTTTTGGCTTGTATACTTGATGCTTCCAAGCATAAGAGATTGTCAATCTTTAATTCATTGTCTTCATTTAATAGCCATTTCTAAAAATGGAAAAAAATATCAATATCTTGCTTTGTAAAGAAGCATACATGTTGACATTAGGTTTGAGTTTTCTATTGTGCCCCATAGCCCAACTGAATTTTGGATGATCATTAAAATATCATAGCCTCATGTAAAGTCCTTAAGAAATTTCAAACTCTGAGGTCACTGCAGTGCAAGGGGGTTTACAGCCTCCTTCACAGACATCTGTCACACCCACCTCACTAATAATCTACCTGCAAATGTTTTGCTGTAATATCATTAATCATAGATCTGCTAACTATTCCTAATGTAGGATACAACAAAGTGAGTCCAGCAGTCTTCTACTATATATATTAACACAATATTAATTGCTATACCTTTGAATTTGTCTCGATGCAGAGATTTAGAACCACCCTTGCCTTCTTTTCTTTGGACTTTCCAGGACTGTCCAGGCAGTATTCATCATTTCCCTTYGCTTGAAGCTAGAAAAAAATAAACGTKTGATCATCAAAATAAAACATTGATTTGMCCTCACACGATCCTTTCTTTATCAAAACGTTTGTTAATGGCACAAACCAACAAAAATGACATGTGCATGCATGCTGCAACCAACACAGTTGAGAATATTCAGTGACAGCCAGATGTATATCTTTTCATAAACATTCACCTTGCCTTTCCACACAACTGCTGGGTTTCTTCTCTTTGGCAGGTTCCACATGGGAGGTCTTCCCTGATTTGGTATATGCATCTCAGGATACACGTTTTCTAAATACCATTTGAACGACTGACACTTTAGATTTTCTCTTAACTGCAAACAACAAAAATTGCAAACCACTTTCTGATTGCTTGCTGCAACATAATCTGGAGTGGTAGTGAGAGAATTTGGGCACCTAATAAAAGATCTTATTAAAGTTATGCTCAGGTCAAAAATACTTGCCTACCATTAAATATTTGCTGCAAATTTTGAGCTTTCAAAATCAATTAAATATATAATACCATGTACCTTGACACGACTAGTAATGTCACCATACTCTTTTCCTTTGAGATCATTGCGTATTTCATAAAAGTATTTCTTGTATTCATCCAACCATACTTCAGCTAGCCTCATTGAGTTCCACGACATGGTGTCCCCCTTTGAACCAGAACTGTAAGGTCTCCTTTGACGGAAAATATGACCAACTCTTGAACATGGGATTATTTCTAGCTGCCCTCCGCACATCCAGATCTAAAAATGGTTTTATTTCATGATTTATTGGTGAGAATCAATTCACAAAAAATTAGGAAAATACACAGAAAAGACAGTCAGATACTCAAGTTGTCTACCTTTGTGAAGTGAGCCTCTATGTAATCTACTTACTCTGAAAGAAATTTCTAGATTTTCTGCTCCCCATATATCCATACCAGCATCATAGTTGCCAAGGTGATGAAAATATTCTCTATTGATAGCAAACAACCCTCCTGCCATGGTTGGTGATCTGTTGAAACACAAACATAAGGGAAACCTTTACCAAAATTTTCCAAAAAGAAACATTGTACAAAATAGCAATTCATATAACTCTGGAGAATCTGGTCCAGTATGTTCTGGTTTCATTGTTGTCCAGTCCTGGCCTCCCTTTTGATACTCTCCCGCAAGTCCTGGAGTGGGTCAAAATGGAGGCCTGGACTGGACTAGTTTCATTGGGGACCTCACAGGATTTGGAGATGCAAATGTAGATTTTGAATGAAATAATCAAGAAATAATTATTATTCATATAGTATTAAATTAGAACTCAATGAAGTGCTAATTTACCTAATTGGATTAACATAGTCTTCAGGCTTTTTCAATAGTGAAGGAGAAATTGGTTCCCATGTAAAATGAAGTCCCCAATTAAACCCCCCTCTGACTAGAGGAGATGCTTTGTARTCAAAAGTATGTGCACTTATGATATCAATAAGAGGACAAACAACTGTACGTCGGTTCATTTTGATCCTTTCTAGRAAGGGRGGAAGCCATTTAGTGTTCACCTCGCAATGGCTGTCTAAAAATACTATCACTTCTCCTGTTGCTGTGTTGGCACCAACAAGACGTCCTCTGATCAATCCCTCTCTCTTGTTAGTTCTAACAAGCTTTACTTTAGGGATGTCTCTTATATAGRTCTCCAGTTGTTCATTCAAATTTAATATATCACTAAAATCATCTACTAAAATTATTTCATGTAAATTCTGTGGAGTTCTATCTAATACACTATGRATGGTTCTTAACAACACAGTAAAAGCTTCGTTATGAAAGCAAATAATAACACTTGCAGAAGGGAGGCTTGATGAGTACATTTTCTGATGACATCTGCAAATAATAAAAGAATTATAGGTAGTCAGTAGTCACATCCATTTGTTTGCCGGTCCATGCCATGCACACTGTGAGAGGAATCATGTTTAAAAGCTTTCTGACTCCAGAAAACTGCTTCTGGTGTTCTGAAGGACAGACTCACAAGATGTTTTTACAATAAAAGGATGGCAAGCTGTGTCTCTGTACTATAAACTGTCATGAGCCAATGAGTGACTGCATTCTCAAATATTTCATAAGCAAGCTGACTTAAACATAATTTGTCTACTCACAATTCATGTCTTGTGTCTTTAATTTCACGATGCAGTCCCAGACGTTTGCTTATCAAYAGGTTGAAAGCATGCTTTTCATAACCTTCTTCTTTAAATTTTAAATCTTCATTATTTCGCACAATGCCCAGTTGGACAACAGCATCTTCATGATCATCAGAATTAGTCTCATCACTGTCMATAGTAAATTCTCTAGTTTCTTGGTTGTATAAAAGTGATATCAAGTAGAATATTATCCATATGCTCAAAGTTAAAATGCAGCATAAAAGTAAGTAGCGGTGATAAAACTTTAATCCCATGTTGATGCTAGGGTAAAATTCAACTCAACATCATTTTTTGGAAGGTAAAGTCCCCATGCTCAAAGGCAAGAGTTGTATTGCACTGGCCTGTCAATCAGAGACGGATATATCATTGCATATGTGTTTCAAAGACTATGACAAAAAGTGATTTTCCAGACCTAACTGGACAGACAACATGTTTCAGCATGAAAAGCCAAGATGTTCACCTATGCAGAACAAAAAAAATCAGGATATAATTTTATAAAACCTTTGCACAAATTTTATTTTTAAATTGAGTTAATATGAATTAAAACAGTATTTTTCAATTGGAATGAAATTGATTTTTAGACTTCAGTTTATAAAGCCSTCAGCTTGGGGAAAACCTCTCAGACAGTCAAAATAGAACGATAACAAAGCTAACATCCTGAGGTCAGCTTTTAATATTTTCGTCCTTTATTGAGTGAACACTTATCTGTTAGTATAGTGATTATACTTAAGCTTAATGTAACTTACCATTAAGGTAATTTGTACGCTTACATAAGTTAGTCTTCTGAAATGAATTCTGTACGACATAAAATAGAGAGTGCAGTACTCGATCGATGATTTTCACGTGTGGAGAAATTTTTAAACTCAAAAGTTCATGTGAAAGAATGGAATACAATACGTTTTTTTTTTTCAAACTGAATCAAAAATACCTTTTTTAAATAGCAATCTGCATTAAGACTCAAAATCCTTCCCTGCTCAATTACTTTTGCATCAAAGACCAACTGGCTTCCAACAGTTTGCAAAATGTAGTGTTATTCTTTGATCCCTAAAGTAGCGCAAGCTGGCGCGAGCTAAAGAAACCATTATTATTATTAAATTACGCTATCATTGGCCGGATTTCGTCCAATCAGCTTTTAGACGAGCGTTTCCGAAGTACGCGCCGATGAGCCATCGGTACGTTTCCGGAGACACTCGGAAATCACATGTTCAAAAGAGTCGGAAAGCCGCTCACTTCTCTCTCCTTGGCCGCCATGTTTCTGCAAAGTGTACGGAGTGTATCGAGAAGTGCTCTTAGAACAGGCCATTTGGCCCGTGCATTAAGGCAGAGCCAACGAGTAACACTTKCAGCTTGTTACAAATTAAGTAAGGAGTATTTTGATGTGACATTCATGCTATCAATGTTGTGATTTCTAAGATATTGCTTTGAAGGAGTTGGACACGTTGGATTTTGTCTTGATTTGCCGGTCACATGTGTGCACATTTGTACAATGCTTTTGTTACTAAATAGTTTATAGCTATTAAGTTTGATTGGGAAATATTATTATTTTTTGTCTAATTTTGATGTATTAATGTYTTATGTTCTATAATTTGTAAAGGCAGCCAACGTTATGTTTCTACGAATAAGCCGGTGTCCGCGGCCGCTGCTGCTCAGGCTAGTCAGAAGCCAACTACACCTCCAGCTACTAAGGCTGGTGCAGTAGGAAAGGTTGTGGCAGTCATTGGTGCTGTTGTAGACGTACAATTTGAAGATGGACTTCCTCCAATTCTAAATGCTTTGGAAGTTGAAAATCGTAGTCCAAGATTAATTCTTGAAGTGGCTCAACATTTAGGTAAGTTAATGGGGTTCCTGTCTCAGTACTCTAGTCTATATTGGTGCAAAGTTCAGCCTTTACTCTGCAATGTATATTATTAAAAAACCCCTTTGTGTGTACATGCATAGGAGTTTCAATCACTCTTTCCCTAAAGGTTGGTGGTAGAAATAAAATCAGGTCTTCTCCATGCAGTATGTTTATATGTTTTATTTGGAACAGCTATCCAAGAAATTATGGATTATCCTTCCTTCACCAGAATAAATTGTGACAACTGCAATTCTGGGCCGGTGTATGCTATCAGTTATTTTTCAGAATTACGCAGTATTCGTTAATATAACTGATGATATTTAGGACTGAAATATTTGTAGCTTTTTAACATCAAATTTGTAAGCTAATATATACACAACCTGAAACAAACTTAATATGGTTAACAATCAATTCTAGGTGAAAATACTGTACGAACAATTGCCATGGATGGTACTGAAGGTTTGGTTCGTGGACAAAAGTGTGTTGACAATGGTGGACCTATTTCTATCCCTGTTGGTCCAGAAACATTAGGAAGAATTATGAATGTCATRGGAGAAGCAATTGATGAACGAGGKCCTATTCCAACTGAAAAGTAAGAATTCCTTGACACCAAATGCAAAATTATCAATGCATTAATGTCAAATTATCAATGTATTGTTATACAGTGATCAGATCTGCTTATGATTCAAAGAACTAATGAAATTGTATAACGTGCAAATACTAAGACCATGAAAAACCTAAGTAATTAAATAGTGTGCTAAACTGTATTGAATTCCTTTTTATATTATCTAATCTACACTACATGTATTTTGCTATATTTAGCTGTTTGGTACTTTTTTCAAGTTTTAATTGTTTGAACTCTAATCTAAATATTACAATCTATTTGGAATGTGGTAAAAATATCTCAAGGGCTTTTTTAGAAACTTGTCAGGGTGGACATGAGGAAACATATTGGATAATTGCTTACCAGTATCCTAAGCACTGCTCATTTGTAAAATATATTATTCTTGTGTAGTGTGTTATTTTCTGCAAAGTGGTAATGATGTTAGTAGTGATGTTTTTTTTAATCATAATTCAATTCTTATGACAATGTTACATTTATATTTTAGGAGAGCAGCCATTCATGCTGAAGCCCCAGCATTTGTTGACATGGGTACAGAACAAGAGATCTTGGAAACTGGAATTAAAGTTGTAGATCTTCTTGCTCCCTATGTGAAAGGAGGAAAAATCGGTATGGTTTAAGTAATGTTGAAGTRGGTCTTTATTTTATACATGCCTTTAATCTATAGATGCTTTTGCAGCAATATGCAGAAATGATCTTTTTATGATCTTTTTTTGCAARGCTTTTTTGCTCGTATTTCAAGTATATATAAAATACAGCAATATGCAGAAATTGTGATCATTTTGACTCATATGGCAAGTATATATATAAAATATGTTAGAAATTATGGGATATCACCATTATTTTTTTCAGAAAGTACTAGTGCTAGGCAACTTCAAAAAAATATTGGTGATGATATCCCATAATTTCTGATATTTTTTTGGAATATGAGTCAATATGATCATAATTTATGCCTATTGCTGTATATGGTGTTATGTATGTAGATTTGACAGTGTTGTGCTATTACCATTYTCCTCAGGTTTGTTTGGAGGTGCTGGTGTAGGCAAAACTGTGCTTATTATGGAGCTTATRAACAATGTTGCCAAAGCCCATGGTGGTTATTCAGTGTTTGCTGGTGTMGGAGAAAGAACCCGTGAAGGCAATGACTTGTATCATGAAATGATCATGTCTGGTGTCATCAATCTCAAAGATAAGAGTTCCAAGGTATAGCGACAATTTCTAAGAATATTGTTGTGATTATTCACAATGAAAATATAGAAAGTTATTGGTCTTTTTCTTTTGTTACTGTCAGAATGATAGTTGCTAATTGAATAGTGACACCACCGACAGTGCTTTTGTAAAATAATCATAAATATCACGAAACRGCGGTTTGACAGCACATACTTACAATATWAATGATAAAGAAAATGGCAGCCATGTTGGTGTACATAACAGTGGAAGCTATGAGAAATCCTTTATTTTATGGCTATTCTGATGCCATACTCAAGCCAAGAATTTGACTAAGAGATGACAGATATTCCATGCTTGCAGTGCTCTTATTCTGACTGATGTTTTGTTTGCCTACAGGTGGCTCTTGTTTATGGACAGATGAATGAACCACCAGGTGCCCGTGCTAGAGTAGCTCTATCTGGTTTGACTGTTGCTGAATATTTCCGTGATGCTGAGGGGCAGGATGTGCTTCTGTTTATTGATAACATTTTCCGTTTCACACAAGCTGGTTCTGAGGCAAGTGAATGGTGTTTTCCACTAAGAAAATCATGTTTATTTTGTTGAAGTGCATCATGTGTTGATAAAAGTATTATGATAGTGGAGGATATATCATTTTCTCTGAAAAATTGAGGCAATTCATTGCTGAGCATGCAGCCTCAGCAGCCTCAGATAAGATACCTTCACACTATAGTATACTCAAAGTCCTAGTGGCTCAGTTTGTACTTTTGTCAATACCCAGGGTTCGCACTACTCCTTGAAATCCTTGAAAACTCCTGGAATTGAAAACTAGTTTTCAAGGGACCTTGAAAAGCCCTTGAAAATGTGAAAAATCGCCCAAACTCCTGGAAAACTCCTTGAATCTGATGAAATTAACATATTGCCTTTTGCCGTTTGGATTGAAATGTGGCTATTTTTGAAAATCACCTCTGGAAACATTCGCAAACATCAAAAAATATCTTCAAAAATAGTCCTTGAAAATCACATTTTTGTGCTTAAAAAGTACTTGAAAAGTCTGGGAATTTTGTAGTGAAGATTTTGCACGAACCCTGAATACCATAGTCCATATTGCACAACATTCGCATCGTCATGATATTTTCATTTCAATTCTATAAACTGTTTTTGTTCTTATCTATTGGTTGTTTATATATCTAGGTGTCTGCTTTACTTGGACGTATCCCATCAGCTGTAGGATACCAACCCACTCTAGCCACTGACATGGGAACTATGCAGGAACGAATCACCACAACCAAAAAAGGATCCATTACATCAGTACAGGTGACTGTCATAATGAACTTTCATTCCTTGTAAAAACTTGAAAATATTAGAAAATCAAAACAAAACCACTGTATTTCAAGATTTACTTACTCCCCAGTTCAAGTTTCTCTTTTACACTGTGTTCGCCTCTGACCTCTCAAGCTTTTATTCATCTACCGTATCTACGTGGAGGGTTTCTTTTGTTTTCTCTAGAAACTGATCCCACAGTGACGTAAAAGGCACAGAAGCCTATTGTGTGTAAACTATGCAGAAATTTAGATAATACTTGTGAGATTTCAAACTACTTTCATTGAAAGTCTTGTATACTCCCAGATCTCTTGCATTTGCATGTCTGCTACTGAATAAAAGGATATAATACATGGTTTTGAGGCTTGCACAGTGTAAAGGAAAGAAGAAAGAGAAAGAAGAACTTTTTAGATGACTGTATTTATATGGATGCAAAGAGACTGATATATGTTTGATTTTTCACAGGCTATTTATGTGCCAGCTGATGACTTGACTGATCCTGCTCCAGCTACAACCTTTGCTCACTTGGATGCAACCACTGTCTTGTCACGTGGTATTGCTNGATATTCCATGCTTGCAGTGCTCTTATTCTGACTGATGTTTTGTTTGCCTACAGGTGGCTCTTGTTTATGGACAGATGAATGAACCACCAGGTGCCCGTGCTAGAGTAGCTCTATCTGGTTTGACTGTTGCCGAATATTTCCGTGATGCCGAGGGACAGGATGTGCTTCTGTTTATTGATAACATTTTCCGTTTCACACAAGCTGGTTCGGAGGCAAGTGAATGGTGTTTTCCACTAAGGACATCATGTTTATTTTGTCAAAGTGCATCATATGTTGATGAAACTATTATTATAGTGAAGGATATATTATTTTCTTTGAAAAATTGAGACTATTCATTGCTGAACATGCAGCCTCAGATAAGATACCTTCACACTATAGTATACTCAAAGTCCTAGTGGCTCAGTTTGTACTTTTGTCAATACCCAGGGTTCGCACTACTTCTTGAAATCCTTGAAAACTCCTGGAATTGAAGACTCGTTTTCAAGGGTGCTTGAAAAGCCCTGAATACCCTGAATGAAACCCTGAATACCATAGTCCATATTGCACAACATTCGCATCGTGATATTTTCATTTCAATTCTATAAACTGTTTTTGTTCTTATCTATTGGTGGTTTATATATCTAGGTGTCTGCTTTACTTGGACGTATCCCATCAGCTGTAGGATACCAACCCACTCTAGCCACTGACATGGGTACTATGCAGGAAAGAATCACCACAACCAAAAAAGGATCCATTACATCAGTACAGGTGACTGAGATGTTTTATAGCTTATCCAAGAAAGATAATTAACAAATTGAAATGTATTTTCTATGGTCTGTATGCTTATCAACAATGAAAATGACGTCAGAAAATGATAAAAACTCAAGTGGAACCACGTTTCACTGCCAAGTTTTAATCATTTTCTGGCATCATTTGAATTGTTGATAAGCGTACAGACCATAGAAAAGCAATTTCGATGTGTTTTTTACCATAACAAGGCCGAAAACAAAGTAAAACTTTCAAAACAAAATCGTTTCTGGCGCACGACGGCTCCGTGTGCGAGCGATTCGGTCTGTCCTAGGATCGACAACGGCTCTCGACCAATCAGCGCGCGAGAATTCTACAAGTTATGGTAAAAAAAATTTTAAGATTACATTATTGATATGGATACAAAGAGACTGATATATGTTTGATTTTTCACAGGCTATTTATGTGCCAGCTGATGACTTGACTGATCCTGCTCCAGCTACAACCTTTGCTCACTTGGATGCAACCACTGTCTTGTCACGTGGTATTGCTGAGTTAGGTATCTACCCTGCTGTTGATCCTCTTGATTCCATCTCTCGTATTATGGATCCAAATATTGTTGGTACAGAGCACTATGAAACAGCCCGTGGTGTACAGAAGATCCTCCAGGTACTGTACAATTTTAGTCTTCTCTGCAGGTCTTTCTCTTCCCTTTGTGTTCTTCTTTCTTCTCTTGGGCCTCATGTCTACCTCAATATGTTCTTGCCAGAGCTATCCCAAAAGGGCAAAATGAAGTGTTGCATGCAGAGGATGCTATGTACAATAGTCACCTTTAGATATTTTTGTTCGATNAAAGTTGGCTATTTTCATTTGCTCTTACTCACTGCGACTTATTTTGAAATCATTTTACTTTCAAAAGTATTTATTTGTGTGCTTTATTTAATACAATAGGACTACAAGTCATTACAAGACATTATTGCTATTCTTGGTATGGATGAATTGTCAGAAGATGACAAGCTTACCGTTGCTAGAGCACGTAAGATACAGAAGTTCCTCTCACAACCTTTTGTAACCGCTGAGGTATTCACTGGTCACAAGGGAAAACTTGTGCCTCTTAAGGTATGCTTTTGTTTATAATGTCTAGTTTCTTGATGAAAAACAGTGTTAGCCCTCATTGATTTGAAGGAATCTCATGATTGGTTGATAAAACAATGGATGAACAATAGATAGTCTTCCAAACAATAAAAGAAATCCTAAACTAACAATAGAAGTTTAGTTCTAAGGAAGCAATAAAAAAAAGAAAGTTTTGATTGGTAAATATGTTTATATCTCATTGCATCTTTTTAGGACACCATTTCTGGCTTTGGAAAGATCCTCAAAGGTATAGTATGACTTGTGGTGTAGTTGTATACTAGTTCATGCTACTCCTTGAAATCATTAAAAAACCCTCGAATTGAAAACTCGTTTTCAAGGGCACTTGAAAACTCAAATACTGGAGTACTCCTTGAATGGGATGAAATAGACATGTTGCTTTTAATTTTTTTGKTAAAAAATGTAGCGCGAACCATGTGTATAATTGCTTACACTAAAGACCTGAAGGCCCTATTGTCAGTCTTATAAAAATCACTTTAAAATATACCCCCTTTCCTTTTTGTTCCAGGTGAATATGATCATCTACCAGAAGTAGCATTTTACATGATTGGAGACATAGAAGAGGCTGTAGCAAAGGCTGAAAGACTGGCCGAAGAGGCTGGCTAGATTCTTATTTGTTCGTGAATTGTAAATCTTTGTATGGTTTTCCTTCATTTTTCAAGACCATGGTGGTTGAATGAATAATTTTTGTGATCATTAAATACGCGGTCATTTTTGTGAAGATGGTGTATTTTATTGCAAGGTCTCATTGTGAAAACAATAAACTAAAAGTAATGTTTTACATTGTTTGTTTTTCCTTTGTGTTTTCAATAACCTGCCTAGGCTAAGAGCAGATTCAGCTCTTAATTTAAAGGGAGAGGTTGGCTAACTGCGTAGCTTTGTCCGTCAACACGATATAAAAGGCGCAAAACGTTTTCGTATAAGTGGACGAAAGATAGATCCGTGTWGTTTTCTGGATTCGTTTATACGCTTATACATCCGTGAAACAGAGAGAATAGTCAAACTGAGGAGATGACCCTTTAGCGGTTAAAACCAAAGCGGGCAAAATGTTTGCTGCAGCCTTTAAATGAACAAGAGTGCGAAGTCATTAAAATGACTTTTTTACCAACAAAATGGATTTTCCTGACATTGCAAAAGGATAAACAAGCTCTGAAAGGACAACTTTTTATATAGGTTGTTGCCCGATTCTGCCTCGCTTTGATGAAAAACCACAGGCTCCTCGCGCAACTTGCTTTCTAAACGTGATGAAAACAAAATTTACTATTGAAGTGTGATAGTCAAAATAAATTCAAGATTTTAGTCTTCACTCTACACCGAGCCGAAAATCAAAGAAAAGCGTGCATAATCAAAGAGAAGTGAAAAAAACCGTGGAATAGATATTACACTAATGCACCTTAGTACGCCCTAATGCATTGTTTGCTTGTTTTCTAATTGACTATCACACTTTAATAGTCAGATGTTTCTGTTTCACGGGTACGTTTAATGACTTCATAATTACTGACTACTAAATTGTGTTTAGACCTGTTAGACAACAAAAAGAAAAAAAAATAGTATTATTCAGCACCTGTTTTTATACTCTGTTTTGTTTCACTGTTTCACGGATTGGAGGCATATATTTTACCGGAAAAAATAAATGCTAAATTGAATTTTATTTGTGCAACTTCCTGTTTTTCCTTTTAGCTATATTCATTTCTTTTTCAACTCTTTTTTTCACTTCCTTTCTCTCTGTCTTCTTTTTCTTTTTTTTCTTTCAGGTTATCAAAGATCATATTTATTTTTAAAATAAACAACTCGTGATATTGTATCTCAGTTTAAAATATTTTGCAAAACAATAACATTTCTAGCGTTCAAAAGGTCGCTACCAACTTCTTTCTGCACCTCGAGGGGATCCCGTCAGGAAGTCGCCAGCTTTTGTGAATCAGCCGAGTATATAGGTTATGAAAACAATCGTTTGTTTTTCTTATCGCTCACAAGAGTTATCCGTGGACCCAAGSCAGCCGAGCATTTATAAAGTCAACACAACGACCCATCAGGCGAGAAAAGTCTGCTTTTTTGGCCATCTGCTTGAGCGCTGCTGTTTTGCAAATTTCACAGTGAATCATATCCGCCAAACGAGAAACATTTTTTTGGCATAGACTATTGGTGTCTTATGTCTTATGACGAACGGCATTTTGGAAATAATCTAAGCAAGGATTGTGAAAGATAATGGAAGATTTTGAGACACAATGCGCTTCATTCGCGAACCCTGTTAATCTTTATCTTGTGTTTGCTGGCGTAGCAGGGATAATTTTGAACATTTTCCCTTTGTATGTTATATTCAAGCTGCCAAAAAAGACAAACCGAGTCGGACGGGACATACTGGCTGCTGGTCTTTGCATTGTGGATATTCTTACAATAGTCGTTCCATTATCTATTAATCTTGGTGTAAAAGCGASATGCGAGGCGACTAAAATCACWTCAAATCGACCATGGATTTGTGAGATGTTCTTTTTAATGTTCATATGGCTCAAACTGAGCGCTATGTTTCTTATAACTGTGCTTAATTACTCGTCCTACTTGGGCCTCAACGTGAACGGYCAGTACAGCACTGATCGACCAAGTATTGGTGATCGTCTGTCAAACTCATTCCATAGAGCCAAGTCGAGGGGWAAAAGARCTGAYGAGCATGGACGATCRGTTGTGGTGATWGCTAATTTAGTTATCGGGGTCGCGTTAGTCGCTTTTATTATTTCCTCTCTCCCGTATCTTGGATTAGGACCGAAAGGGAAAACTACTCTTAGTTCTAACTCGACCAAAGGCATTCTAAAAAAGCAAAGCCAACTTTGCCATCTTGAACAGATAAGTTTTCCCCTGAAGGGGAAAGAATACACGTTTTTATTTGCGGTACTAATGAGCTCCGCGGCCTGTTTGATTCTTCACCTTGTTCACAGTGTACTAAGCTGTTTCAGCTGTTGCTTTTGGAGAGAAAATCTCCGGGAAGCCCAAGAGATGGATATYCAAATGGTCAGTMGGAATTCACACGTTGCGGGGGGACTACACTTGGTTCAAAGTGTACAAGAAATTACTGACAGCTATGCGAGAATGACCTTCGCTTTGGGAGTCGTTTATTTTGCGACATGGATACCAATGATGGTAAGTTRAATAATATTTAGTGCGCAAATGTTTCGTTAGAGTGTAGGTTTTAGGTTTAGCATATCTTATATATATATACCGTATTCTCAAGAATATTAAAGTAGCCAAATTCTGGTAATAAAGAACAAGAAGAAACCATCAAATTACTTAAGGTGTGAATGAGGTATCAAACAGTTGGTTTTAATTGACTTAACACTTTATCGTCAAATCATTTAGCGTGATCTTTCATCGAGGCAGATTGATTCGTCTACAAGCAGCCGGCTCGATTTCAAATCTTCTGACATGAATATCGCCGAAGAAAGACGAACAGAGTATACTGAAATTGATTTTCATATCATTAATGCAAACAAGTATTTGTATTTGTGAAGATTTCAACGTTCGTAAATGTACTTTTCTTTGAGAATACAGTCATTGCTAACGGGATTAAGTGAGACAGACTTTGTCTAAGCGATTAGAAACTACTTCATTATGTCACGCTCATTTCAATATCACGCTATTCTAAACAGGCCCCGGTTGTAAAGGGTGGATWTATCCACTGCAAAGGAYTTCATAAGGATTTTAATATTCATGGCAAAGGATTTATCTAATGAAGTCATTTATCTTTTCGTAGAGCCTCTTTTCTAGACCAATTCATATTAATTCATCAGTATCCTCTTCCAGATTTCCATATATTTTTGGGGGCCGCTAGRCTGTTGTACAGCTGATAAACTGCATTCAAATCGATCCGCTGCTCTTGAACTTTTGAGACGCAATAGCTGGATGATATGTGAAGAATTTAATAATCTTAGTCGAGCCTGCGTTTTATCCGAAATTTTATCCTGAGATTAGTTTGACTTTCTAATTCCGAAAAATTCCAACGTAGACTAGACAGCCCCAATACGTTTTAGTTAAAATTCTAACACTAACCCGCGATACAATGACAGCACTGACGGGAAAAATCGATAAAGCAAACGTCCTTTTATAATTCGATTAGGTCTTGAAAAAGACAACGTGAAGAGGCATTTAATTAAAGGGCAATGATCCAACCTCACTTCCTTTAAACTTTTATGTTCAAAGTACATCGTAAAATATGCAAAAACTTACTCTTTATTATCTCTTTATGCTCCATGAATGGAGATATTGTAAGATTCGACATTAAGATCAACGGATGGAAAGGGATTGCGAATGGATATTTGAAGTCACTTCATTTCCCATCATATATGAAAAATCTGAAACACGACCGCATTGAATGCTGGTGAATCAGGGCCCTTTTAGACTGAAACAGTACTCAGTCTCCAACGCCTAATCCGACATGTAGCCAATTCAATGCAAATATGATAATCAACAACAGAAACTAAATTATTTTGTTTGAAACTAATCAGTGTTTTTGTTCCTTCAGTTTGGCATGGGTGTCTTAATGTCTTCTGGTTCRTTGAGGAATGATCTCAAGGAATACTGCATCGCTGGTACCTTTTCTAATCCCTTCATCGATCCGCTTATCTATGCGGCATTCGTTACAGAATATCGACGAGGTTACATTCATTTGGTCAGCAAGATTTTCACTTGGATTAAATATTTACCAGGTAGGTCGTCCAGCTGCCATAGGCASCTTCCTAGATGATTAGCTCATGATAAGATTCCATACAGCATCCAGAAACCTTGACGACTTCCTTGTAAACGTATATTTTGCTTTATTTTGCAGAAATGTTTRTTACRGCCAAGAAGAAGGCYGTTATRCAGATCACGGAATCAAGCAATTAGCGAATGATCATCTGAGTGAACKCTGCCACTAACCGAAACTACTGCAGTTATCCTGYGTTACGAGACGTTAGAAACGTAATGGGTACCTGCAACGGGTCTACCCAGTAAAAATACAAGTGTCATCGACAGAATCGGATGTCTCAAGGATCGTCCACACTGATACGCTTTCGTACTGTTTTCATTCCCTTGTAGGCGAAGAACATTACAGATATGAAAATGCCACGAAAACGCATCAGTAAGAGCGCGGAGAGTATTGACCCTGCGTTGCCATGTAATTTGGCTGTTGYCCACTAAACATTGAGCAAAATAGACTCGTTTCTCACATTTCATTGCAAGTATATAAGACATTGCGCGAATAGTTACCGTTCAGTGAAGTTAAAACAGTTTGTAAATTGTAGTCTAATATATACAATACAGCGTACTGTTCAAACAAGCATGTGCAAAAGGAACAATTTCATGAATACGCCCAAGATTTTATTCAAATCACCATGACCGAAACGATCTTCTCCATAAACTGAATTGATAAACAGTGGGTAAGAATTAGAGAAAACATAGCATCTATCATGTCTCCCACAAAATGTCTCTTATGTTTTAACATATCTTTCTGAGTCCCATTTACCGTGGCTCCTCTGGTTCTCCTGACAGTGATGCCATACTCCAGGACAAATTTTGAATCACGTGAACTCATTACGTCATTCATGACGTCATGGATCTTATTGCGACGTCATCACTGGTATACCGACGTTTAACGTTTTGTGTTGGAAAGCTAGCTGGGCGCTGAATTCTGCCGAAACTGCCGAAGACCTTGTAAAAATACCTTCTTTGTTTGTTCTATCATCTCATGATAAAATTTGAGATCCTCTTCTTTTGCTTTTAGAGTGGAGTTTAATGCCTCTTTTAGAGCGTCGTTTTCATCTTTTTGAATATCAAGCCTGGAAACGGTCAAAAGTTGTTACAATCAATCAGTGCAGCAATCAGCGAATAAATCAACATAACAATAAATCAATCAAAAAATTAATCAACTCAGTAATCAATCAAGCAATTAGTCAATCTAATAACGAAACTATTGCGTACAATATAGTTAAACTTCTTACCAAGCCCTTAACTCATCTAACTCATCGGGATTTTGAGGTCGTTCAAAGTCTTCCCCGCCAATACGTGATGACGAACCACGGACTTTGGATCTAGCTGAATTCTTTGAATTGAAAGTTTGTGAAGACTGTACTCTTCCTAATTGTTTTTCTATGTGAGCATTCATTCGTCGTTGCTCTTGAAGTTTGGCCGTGATTTGCAAGGACTTGGATTTCTCCTCGTCGTTTCTATTAAAAAAGAGATGACGAGCGTTAAACTATTGTGAGTTGGGTCGGTGTTTGTTGTAACAGCTGTAATGAAGTGAGAGATTAGAAAACGTAAAACATAGAAAACGTTAAGACGTTTCATATGATAGTCTATACTTGCTCCAATGAAGGACAATCTTACTATCATTYCATTATGTATATTCAATCCATTTAGCAAACTACTTTATTGAACTGATAGTTTTTTGTTGYTCTGTTCTGCTAACGGACAAACGAATGATGAACTAACGCCTGGTTCTCTTACCGTTTCTGTAAAACAGCCACGAGCTCGAGAAGTCGATCACGCTCAACTTCAGCAACTTGACACGTAGATTTCAACTCTTGGATCTGACACCRTAAGACTTGCGTTTCCTCGCTACAGGAAAAAAATAATAATAACACGCTTAATTTTAGAAAAAATTCATTTCTGGCAACTCTTACTGTAGTCTCTTCCGCAGCCCCTTCTGTATCGGGCAACCCGAGGCTGCGTAGGAGACTAATCATACTGGTGCGTTATAGTAAAATGGTTCTCAGGTGATTTTTGGGGCCAAATGAAAAATGTCAAAGGTTTAAACTGGTTTTACCTGTTACTTGCACTATTTCTTCTCCCTCTGCTGTACCGTCCAGCACTGGGTGGAGTCGGTGGAAGTTGCCCATGYCCTATTCGGCTGTTTCTAGTWGCAGGAGACTGAGATCTATTTTGCTTTTGTTCTTGAGAMAAAGGAGGTGGCTTAGGTCGAAGATCCTCAGTAGAACACATAGCATCAGCTGTTTCAGGCCGAGGCGGCGTTGTTTTATTTTCAATGTTTTCTTTTTCGATTTTTTCCCGTTGAAGGTTTTGTTCGGTATTGTGTAGCTCTTTTTCTAGGTCTTTAACTCGTTGTTCTTGCTGCTGACATAATTGTTTTAAATGATTGACCATCGTYGTGTCCTGTGTAACAATCACTTGTGGTTGTGGGGCTGGAGAAACTGGCCTTTTGGCAGATTGTTTTAGATGTTCTTGCTCCCGCTGCATTAGAAAATAACACTCATAATTTAGTAATCACGCTCACTTTAGAGTGATTTAATTTCATAATGATGTCCTATCAATAATTTTCATATAAGGGCCCCTATAATAAATCCTGGACACGCCCCTCCTATCCCACATGGCATAGCGGCCTCCTCTACAGCCGTTTAAGTCGCGCGCCATTTTATTTTTCTAATAGTATATTTACCATCAGTGCTGCAATTAGCTCATCGTCATGAGCTCCTTTTTCCATCAAAGTCTTAATTTGAGCCTTGACACTTTTCAGTTCATTGGCCAACACTTTGTTTCTTGCTTTTGATGCGTCAAGCTTTTGTTGTAGTCGATTGTGGTCTTCGGTCATTYTACCCAGTTCACCTTGCGTTTTCTAAAATGAAACCATGTCCAAGTTATGATATTTTGTTTCAAAAACATAATTATCAGATACTATTTTATTTCCCACACATGCCAATGAATAAACACTTTCTTTTAAAGCGAGAACAATTTCCATTCAAGTTATACCAATTGATCAACGTTTTTAATTAAATACCTCCAATGTGTCTTTGCGATCTTTTTCTATTTTCCTTAAAACAGATTTATGTTTTTCATCATATTGTGARGACATCACAGAAGGTGTGGCCATAGACGAACGAAGTAGGAAGTTACTTGATGTCGTAGAACCACACCTAGCAACCTCATGTAGCTGACCCTTTAATTCAGTAACCTTTGGATGTGAATGAAACATTAATCAACCACTAAAGCCTGGTTTCCATATAATCGTTACAATCGCTAGGATCGCCAGGATCGCTGGAGAGTGTTTCCATATGATCGCTACGATTGTTGAGCCACATTTTCGGCGATCGTTGCGATCCTAGCGATTGTAGCGATTATATGGAAACCAGGCTTAATCCATTTACTGGTGCATTAAACAAATCATTTGAGGCATATACTTATGCATACATTTTTTTAAATTTTTCGTCCATTCATTCTTTCATTTACCAATTCATTTTTGGATTAATACACTGGTCCATTCTCCAAATCAGTCATTCAGTTTTTCATTTTTACATATCCATCCATTTCAGATATTCTTGCATTCATTTTCAATTGTATTTCCCTGCTAGCAGAGTCTCTCTCATTGTAGTTCCCCACAGTTAAATTTTAAATTCTTAAAGTACATTTTGTGAACTACAACCAGAGAGACTGAGCTAGCAGGGAGACATTGCATTTATCCATTCAATCATTCTCAATTCATTCATTCATTTATTTATTCAACATTTATAATTTCCCAATTCCTTTCAGTTATATGCAGCATTCTTAAGGTCATTTGTTTATTATTTATCAGCTGTTCTTGCAAATTACTGCTAACCTTATTTTGCAAGGCAGATATTTGYTGCTGCCTTCCTCTCCAGCCACTTGGTTCATTTAATATTGCTGCTACATTCACATGTTCACCTAATTCTTTACTCAGCACCTAAAAACAGGAACCATTGATGATCCACTGTTACACTATTTCAGATAATGGTTTATTGCTCTGGTTTTGGGGGTAATAATTATTAAATTCTATGTGATTTTTTTTATGAGGAAGGGTTTGTAATTGATGAAAATCTTGGTCTAGTTGAAACTAAGTCAATGGTACTGGTGCAAAGAGAGTATTCTCTCAAGAATATCATTGAAGCTCTCTGTTTGACTGGCAACTTAAGGTGATACCTTATTTGCAACCTTGATTTCCTTTTTAAGAGCTTCACACTGGTTGCGATATTCAGCCATTTTAGAATTGGCACTTTTAAGCTTTTCTTGCAATTCTTTTGTTGCTTCCTAAAGAAAAAAGAATTATCATAACTGATTTGAAAAATGCAAGGGGTTGGAGGTGTTTACCTCTCTTGGAAGAAATTATTTGATTGGCTGTGTAAGTTTGTTCTAAAAAGAACAAGGTTTTGGGGATGATGAGACACTCCATTRCACAAGAGTGAAATCGAAAGAAAAGGGTAGAGTTTTTTTCACCTTTTCAAGAATAGATAGATAGATAAACCTTTATTWACTTATACCRCTCAGGGTAGCCCCATCAGATGCAAAAAGCAATCTGTTATCAATGGGAGCCCTGAGCATAACAATATAAACTACAATATAATATATATATGCATAGTACATTATAAGTATCACTAGAAATATGATGATAGATAGATAGAAAATATTAATGATAAAAAGATATAAAAACTGATTTGCATAAATACTAAATTCTATTTGGATAATTCATTAAAAAGAGTGCAACCATAGCAGTAAAAAGATCTTTTTGCGATCTCGGTCCTTACAGCAGGTGGATGTAAAAAATTGCTTTGTCTAGTAGCACGCGCATGGATTGCACTATTRCGCTTAAAATACTCTTTAAAGTATTGGGGACAGTGACCTGACAGGCATTTCTTTACAAGTTTAAAAACCGATTTGCGTCTGCGCTCCTCTAACATGGGCCACTTCAAAAAGTCAATCGCTGGACTGCTGCGCTCAGATCTTACAATGTATCTTTGAATGTAAGAATGCTAGAAATCCCTGTCAAATATTTAATTCATCTAATGTTTCCAAAACAACATTTTAGGTTTCACAGTTCTTGATGTTTTTTGTTTAATTACCTCATTTGCTCCTTTGTCATTTTTAGGTTGGACTTGACTTCCTTTAGGCGGATTCAGTACTGCAGCCTGCAACAAATAAAACAATTAATAACATTATAACAGAAAGCCATAACAATTAGAGCTTAAAATCTCACCTGTGCCTCTAACTCCTGTACCCTTTTAGAAAGCTGCCTTGCTTTATTTCTCTCACTTTGAAGATCTGCAGTCATTTCACGGTTTTTCTTTGATAATTCAACAATCTTACCAGCAGCAGTGTCAGCAGCAACTCCTGTTCCTGTTATAGAAATACTTTTAGTTTGTATAAGTTCAAGAAATATCATTGCATGATATAAAATAAAGGTGAAGTTAGTTATTCATAAAAGAACTTGAAATTATTTATGGGATATTAAAAAAACTATTTATTTTGACATGCTTAATAGTTCTAAATTCAAGGTGTTTAGAGATGGATAAAAACTGTTTGTTACCTTGTCATGTTGGAATGACTGTTGGTAACCCGATAAAAAATATGAAAATTACAGATATGGTACTACCTGCCAAGGCTTTCCTTTCACTGTCCCGCTGTTTTCTGATAATTCGCATTTCCTCATCCCTTTCACCAAGAAGTTTGTACAGCCTTCCATTCTCATCTTTAAGAACCTTAACAAATAGATATGTTAGGCACARGCTTGCCTTATCATACTCACCTGCCTACTATACAGTAACTAATATATATTCTAATGGATTCTAATGACATATAGTAGACTTTTTGTATGAAATATTCAACTAACACTCACCCTATTAGCTTGTTTTAACTCATCAAGTTCATTGTACATGCGTAACTTCYCATYGTCAGGAACCTTGGCATCAAGCTGAAACATGCACGATTGTAGTTAAAAATAACTTGATATTTGGCTCTTACAGCGGTTTCACTGTAGCTAGACAAACTTAAATTAAAGTTAACTTRTACGCTGAAGTGACATAGCCTACAACATATTTTTATAGAAGAACGTTTTATTCTTATTTTCTTGAGACTTTAGTAAAGCAATACCTCGAGTTCTAGATCATCTTCTATTCCCCAGCAGTCATTCTTCTTGGATACAGTTGTCGTTTCCTTGGCGGAATTATTCGTCTTCTTCTGCTTTCTAGCGACAAGTTTCTTCTGTTGTTGCTCTTGGATAAGCTGAAACTGTTGTTTCAATGTATCTGAATCGGTAATATTCATTGCTTAACAGTGGTAAAAGTATATTTTTGTATTGTGTATGATGGGCGCCATTTTGTATTGATGGTTGACAATGACAACACAGAAGAAAGACGACCACAGGAAACCCAAACATTCAGTTTGAAAACAAATGTCTGGAATATTATATGGAAAKGATTCATAATGACTACTGAGAAAGTTTTTTACCTTAAAAGAACAAGGGAATTGAATTTGACTTTATCAATCTCTAAGGGAGGTTAAAATTTGAAGAGTGTAGTTACGGTTGGGCTACCTGTGTTTAAAAGGGAATGGACACGACGACCTCGCGAACTTCTAAAACGTGTTTTGACACCGCAAGCAACTTGWGAATGTGTATTTGATTTTAGGCAACGCAGTTCACSATATCAATCATTTAAAAAYCTGTTACTAAGCAGTCAGTCAAGGCTCCTATTATCTRGAGGATGGATGACTATGAGAAAATTCGTATTGTTGGTCGTGGTGCTTACGGAACGGTTTACTTGTGYCGTCGTCGACTTGACAACTATCTGGTAATCATAAAACAGATTCCTGTYGAAGAAATGACCAAAGACGAACGCCAGTCTGCACTCAATGAGGTCCATGTTCTTTCAAAATTCAAACATCCCAACATCATTCGATATTTCAAYAGTTTTGTTGAGGATAAGGCGTTGATGATTGTYATGGAATATGCGCAAGGTAAGAATTGCATGGTCGCGTGTTGTATTTAAGTTATCTTACAACTCTTAATAAATTAGATTGCGTTGTAATACATTTTAAATAAACATTGAAACATTGTGATTGAGCTTGAAATTTAGATTGAAAAATTACATTATGATATATTTTAATAAGTTAATCAATAATTTATTCCATCTTTCAATCTACTCCTTGTCTTAGAAACATTTGTTTTTAAAACACACCTCGTGGACCTCGTGGTGCTAATTGAATTTTCTATTGCTGATTGGCTAATTGGATTGTGTCCAGGACATTTTACACAATGCTGGTCACACATTTGCATCTCGCAGCCTCAGCTGAAATAGAAAATGTTTTTTGTTTTTTTTATAAYGCTTGGAAAAAGAGTTAATATAATTTCCTTTTTGTCTCCTRMTCTCTTTCAAATACACTCTTGACCAACTAAAATGTTGTGCTGGGCGAGTGCTGGGCTGTAAACCAAGAGTCCACTTCAGTGTTGAATATTTTATGACTTCAAGAGTGTGTCAGTAAGAGGCCAGCCATAACAATTCATAATTGTGCACATTAATTTTCTACATTTTTTACTATTGCAAGAAGAACAGATCTAATTGATGGATCGATTATTGTTATTTTATCTTTAAAGGTGGGACAATATATGACTATTTACAGCAGCGAGGAGGGAAACTATTAGATGAAGATGAAATCCTCCGTTTGTTTGTTCAAATACTTCTGGCCCTTGACCAYGTTCACAAGGAAAGCATTCTTCACAGAGACCTTAAAACACAAAACATATTACTGAATAAAAAGAGGAAAGTCGTTAAAATTGGTGACTTTGGAATTTCGAAAATTTTGAGCAGTAAAAGCAAAGCAAATACTGTAATTGGGTCACCTTGTTACATCTCACCTGAGCTGTGYGAAGGGAAACCATACAATCAAAAGAGCGATATCTGGGCTTTGGGATGTGTTTTGTATGAACTTGCTGTATTAAAACGTGCCTTTGAGGCTACTAATCTCCCCGCTTTAGTGCTGAAAATCATAAGAGGAAACTTTTCACCAATTCCAGAAAGGTATAGCTTAGAGCTGCGGGAATTGATTCTAAGCATGTTGTCATTGGATCCTGCAAAGAGACCTGGGATACCACAGATTATGGCTCAGCCTGTAGTTGTAAATGCACTGTTTGATCTGCCGACTGATGTTGGACGTGTTCCTTGTACTCGCATCCCGAGGGCATTCACAGGAATTTCTGGTTTGTAATAGAATTTGACAATATGCATGATTTTTAGTTGAATAAGATGGTGTTACTATTATTTCAATTTTAGCTGCCATTCCACCATCACGTTCCAAATCAACATCAGCTGCAATTGGTAAAGGCGTGTCACAGCTCCCTCGTACAGCATCGTCAAATTCTGCCTGTACTATCATGGAAGGGCTGCCTGACAATCTTGGCTCTTTTTCATTAAAGCCAGCAGAGCCCCAGCATATTGTGTTCCATTGGGGAGGTGGTGTAAATAAACCAACAAAACTCCATATTCCTCAAAATGATTCTGATATCATACAAGTGAGAAATTATTTTTTGTAGCATTAATGTCTTAAAGGGACATGTTCCATCAGCATGCATCCCTTTTGAGCTTTTGCTCATATTTGAAAGTAAAAATACATCATAATTTAAGCAAAAACTTCAGAGGTCTCGCAGCTCGAAATAAAAGTCATTGTGATTCGCTGGCTAGAACAATAAGCTCTATTGTTTATGCCTCGTTCTTTAGAGCCACTGTGTGTTGAGCCAACCAATTACCAGCAATGTTCTTTGGCGCTGCGACCTGACCCAAGAACTTACTCTTTAATTATCCCTTTATACTATATGAATGGAGATATTGTAAGATTCAACTTTAAAACCGACAGATGGAAACAGCTTGCGAATGGATATTCGAAGTCATCTCATTTTCCATATATGAAAAATCTAAAACATGACCACATTGAGTGCTGATGGACCGTACCCTGTAAGACAAGACACTGAAATGGTTTTTCTCCTACATGTGTGATAATAATGGATTCTAACTGACCATTGCCCAATGGTACCATGATTATGAATTAATAAGTCAAAGAACTTATTGGAGTGAAACAATAGGAGAGAGAACTGTCACTTTGAAAGAGAAAAAAAGAGAGATGAAGGGGGAAATAAGAAAATCCTTGCAGACTTCCACTTGCCACTTTTATCAACATATAATATAATATATGTTCCACCTTACAATAGGAAAATGGGAGGTTGCTTGCATGTCTTATCGGAATGGAGAACAATGATCATGCGTCATTAATATTAGACTTCTTTAAATATTATCTTATCTTATTCCAGGTTTCTGCAGGACGTACTCTTAAAACAGGTGTAACRGCTAATGGTCACATGATACTTTGGGAAGCMAAYGTAGCCATGGGAACAAATGAATGGGTTCCTAGRATCTTGGAGGGCCAATCAGGTGTCACCATTGTGCAAGTGTCCTGTGGGGACCTTTTTGTCGCTTGCTTGACCGGTATGCACAGAAGTTATCCGATATTAAAGTGATATCTTGTTATGTAAAAATAAAAACATCCTATAAATTAAAATATCTATTTTTGTCCACTCAAAGATAAAATATGTATTTCCATGTGCCCATGTAATATCTTCTATTTCTTTTATTATATTTACATTTTAAGAGGCAGCATGGCYAAGTGGTTGTGATGCTGGTCTGGTTCAGGTTCAAGTTCAGCCATGACCACTAACTGAGACTGTATTCATTAAAATTTCGATTTGTCTCTCAGCCATGCTTGTTAGATAGTCAACTGGTTTGCCAACTTGCCAGTTGGGATTAAGGGACTGGGCTGGGTCAGGAGGGTAACCTCATACAAGAACTCCCTATGGGAAGTGAAGGTTGTAAAAAAAAGTTTTTAACATCAGGAATGAAGAATGTACCATTTGAGAAAAAAACGTTGTGGAATGTAAAGTTGTTTACAGATGTCATCCATGGATCGGAGATGAACTATAAAGTTGTTTACAGGTGTCATCCATGGATCGGAGATGAACTATTCTTTCTGTTGTGTTTAGACAGGGGTATATTAATGACATATGGTAGCGGTATGCATGGTTGTCTGGGACATGGTAATACAAATGATATCAACCAAGCCAAGATAGTTGAGGCTTTGCTTGGTTTTGAAGTAGAGCAAGTTTCTTGTGGACCTTCACACATCATGGTTGTGACTGCTGACCATGAGGTGTTTGCCTGGGGRCGTGGTGACAATGGTCGCTTAGGTTAGTATTGTGGTTCACGTCCTTATTTTTAAGTTGAGGCAAAAATTTTTTGTGTCATATAAAATCCAATCTAAGCATGCTTGAGTGTCGGAAAATTGATAACAAGAGCTTGTCTGGAAAACTGATGCCAGTGCCACTTTGACAAATTAATTTTGGCATCATTACCCATTTCAACCCAGAAACCAAGGACATTGCAGTATGAGACGGTCCTAGGTAATAACTGCAATAGTGTTGAAAGCAAATCAAATATTTTTTTCCAGGCACAGGTACCCAATTGCTACATGCCAGTCCTGTAGCAGTAGCCCTTCCAGATACGTTCAGAGCGCGGTCAGTACATTGTGGTGTTGACAGTTCAATGGTTATTACTTTGAACAACAAACTTTTGGCTTGTGGAAGCAATAGGTAAGAATAAKGGCTCGTTAGTAATTTCACTCAAATGAAAATTAATTAGTCTGCATAGCAGGGGCGGATCCAGGAATTTTCTAGAGGGGGGGAATTTATTTTCCAAATAATATTAAACACCAGCATGCACAAGTTTGCTATTTTCGTGAGTGTTACTTAAATGAAATGAAAAGGAAATAAAACGTGTCAAGATACATCAATTTCACATTGGCCACTCTTTAAACTTATACTATAATGAAATACTTCAGATTTTTTTTACAGTGCGGCTATTGAAACTGGGGCAAAGAAATAACAATTTAAATTGAAAACAAAGCATTCAAGCTAAGGAAACCTCATCTCATTAAGCTTTAGTTCTTTGTAATACAACTGATCAAAATTTTTTAGCTGGAAAGCCTTGTTTTCAATCTAAATTGTAATTATTCTTATATTTCTAGTTTTCGTTAATTAAGTTTATATTTTTAATTATATTGTTTTGAGTTTCTATATTTCAACTAGATACATCAACAGGATTGAAAACGAAAAATTATATTTTTATCGGGTTTTTTTTTGGGAAAGGGRATTTTTTTTATTATCAGAATTTATTTTTTATTTTTTTCATTTGGGAGGGGTAGGGGGAAATTCCCCGTTTTCCCCTCCCCTGGATCCGCCCCTGCATAGGAGAGTTTTTGCTTGGCTGCACGCAGACTGACATCAATGACCTTTAGCAGTCACGATGGAAACAGTGAAAACGGAGTAATATATTACTGCATAGATTCTAGAGTACTGATACTCCAAATTTCATGCCCTTCCATMAACATGATCAACTTGTAGAAGGATACAATTTGTACTTGGACAGAAAATTCATCTTTTAATAAGATGAGTTGCTGTACCTGTAACCAATGTGGCAAAATATGATTGACCCATATTATTATGCATGCCATGCCAAATGTTGTCAACTCATCATGATTAATCTAATTATTTTGTTATAAAATGTTTTATTCATTTTTCAATTTCAGATGTAATAAGCTTGCYTTGGATGATGGAACAAACATGATTGAGGAATGCTTGGTGTTTGAACCTGTTATTAAAAMTCTYGAGRCATTTTCTGTCACAGCTATCTCTATGGGAACATCACACACTGCTGTACTGCTTGAGGATGGAAGGTGCTTCACATTTGGCTCCAATTCATTTGGACAACTTGGTTATGAAAGACAGACTGGCACACGTTTACCACAGTGTGTYGAAAGCCTTACTGATGAAAACATTGTGCATATTGCTTGTGGAGATACATTCACTGTTGCAGTCAGCAGCAATAATAAAGTGTTTACATGGGGAAAGGGAGCYAGGGGACGTCTTGGTAGCGGTGCTGAAGAAGAYTGCATTTTACCAAATCAAATTTCTTTGCCATCGCAATTGACTGTTTTGTCAGTGTCATGCAGTCATAGCAGTACATTGTTATGTGGGAAAGTTGTGGACAGAAACTAGCTAAGGCATTACTTAAAATTATAAATTATAGTCCATGGTTTGTGCAGTCTTGGCAAGGGACAAACCAAGGTCTTCTTTTCAAGGACAAGGCTCAACAATTCTACTGAACTTTTTATGAATTCGCATAGTTTAGACAGTGATTTTGAGTTTTCATCAAGGCAGTCGCAGCTAAAGCATGCTTTTCTCATGCATGGAAGAGGAATCATAATTGAGAAAAAAAGAGTAGTCATTGAGCTTCCTTTCCTGCCTTATTTTTATCGCATTTGGTTGGTCACTTTGCTAAAAATGCCTGCAGGCCACAGAAAACAATATAACAGATCTATTAATGAATACTAACATATCATATGAATGAAATTCTTAAAAAGAGATATTTATYATAATTGCTAATATATTAATGAGACTCATAATTCTTAAAGAAAATATTTTATTAGAATTATTAATATTTGTAGATATTATATGCATGAAAAAGTGAAATAAAGTCTGACATTAAATGAAAACTGAATCAGTGATTAGTAGTCAACTTTTTTAGATATTCTTAGTTGTAACTATGTACAAAAAAATTGCAGAAAAAGCTTTGGGGCCACAGTGAATAATTATACTGCATTTTTCTATTTCCCAGAAGCCCATTCTTTTGTGCAAAGACACTAAACCAGAATATCTCAAATCAGCTATCATTAGTACAAGTAATACTACTGCAATTTATTATAAACACTTTTAAATTTAAATATGATGATTTTATATGAACTTAGTGTTTGACAAGTCAGTTTTATAAGCAAACTGTAAAGGAAAAGGTATGATAATAAAAATGGTAAAGTACTTTTATTKACTAGGTAATACATAATATACATATTTTCTACCTCATTTATAGATCAAAATGCAAACAAAGCAGAGTACTTCTATATACTGTTCYGAAAAAATGAAAAAATTCCCATTTTTTATAATCCACATACAATTGAATAATTTTAAATTGACCTTTTTACAGCAAGGCCTGTTCACGCTGTATGATCTCTGATGAAGGCAACCAGCCCTCGTTAAATAAATAACCTTTTTTTGTAATTATTACTATATTATTTAAAATTGATTATACGACAGCCAAACTCTTTACATCAAGCACAAACATGCCACAAARTGTGGTTTCAGAAGGTGCCATCATCAAAATCCCTAACTAAAAATTATTGTCTTTTCAAGACTCTGGACATTGGATGCAACAGCATCACAATTCATCCGAATTTCTATTYGGGAATGMAGAGYATGTAGCTGATTTAACTCATAAAATTAAAATACATCRCCATTTTGATACAACCTGCAACTCATTTCATTCAACTTGTGTGRAAAAACTAAACTAGGCATTTGAAGTTTTTGTATAACAAAAAAAACTATCAATGATTATTATTCTGCTTATTCTATGATTCTATGACTTTACAATAGGYYGTTTGCAYTMTGATGTAACTTTACTRCAACTACCAGAGAGCCTTGCRCATTTTCATTGTTATTCAGATTTTTAATCMHCTTGGARATYAAKAAARCAATTGGCACTAATTGCATTACAAAAGAAAGTTGGCAAAGCATTCTGGTAGTTGTAGTAAATGACGCCATAATGCATATCGCCTATTAATTTCAGGCTTTACTTGAATAATAAGAGTGRTTGTRGTTGTATYRTTACATAATGGTGATGTCATTACGATGATCATGTGACTCTCAGRTCCAATGACCAATCAGGAGGTTTCTGGTCATAGCTGCATGGYACTGCAGGACTAGCKTGGGTRCTGCAGCTTGCTGAGYCCTCTCCATGGTCTACTGCTTGSACAGATGRAGAAGGAGAGAGTTCTGTGTMATCACTGTAAGGAGTTTCAAGAAGCTTCAAAACWCGTTGGACCTTYAGAGGGTAAAAAAAKTAATCAGAAATTMTTCCATTTAACAAATCAATAGTAATGWTATATTCTGTAAAATTTGTATCAACAGCTTAGTTGCCAGTCTGAAATTTGTAGAAATAAAAWTGGAACTTTAAAAGGCCAAAAGARGCAAARCAAATYGGTAAATTTAACTTYAATCTTAAAGTATTGCATGAACTTGCCTCTGAGAAGTCTCCTTTCTCTGCTAAAGTTATAGCATTCTGTGCTATGTAGTTTCTTAGAATGAACCTGAAATTATAGTACATGGGATGAATTGTCATGAGCTGAAAAAGTACAATAATAAAACTCCCAATGTCTGTTTGCATGAACACATCTGCAACATTAAAACATAACATATTTTCTGTAAAATTATTACTAAATCTAACCTTGGATTATTTGATTTCATAGCATTTTGACGGTCCTTTCTAGCCTAATTGAAACAAATACATAAAAAACTTTCAGACTGAGCTTTCCAGTAAATTGCAATTCAAACATCTTTACCTTTTCACTGTCTACAGCATCTTTTAAGTCTGCTTCAACACGATTACTGCAATGAAGCACAAAACAGCATTTCAAACTATATTCATAAACTGTAAAATGAACAACTATTTTTGGGTGTATCAAGGAAGAGGTTCAGGTCTCAGGATGGATTATGGGTGCACACACCAAGAGTAGTATTTAAGTATACAGAAATGTCGTACAAAGGTGAATAAAATATTCCACCAGTTAAAATAATTATCCACTTTATTGATTCTGCATAGATTTTATCTGCTTGTGGATAGGGATTTATTGGGTGGATAGCAMTATTCACCCTTCATACAAAGGGCTCCTGGTACAGTAAACAATGTTCCCCCCTGAAATTAGTTACATAGTCACATCAGAATAGTATCCAGGCTGCATGGCAACAATCTAAAGATGTCAGAACACCCTTGAAATTTGCAGGTATTATTATAGTACTCAAGAAGACTCAAATCATTTTTATGAATACCTATATTTTAATATCCATTCACTCCACAGYTTGTTATCTTTTTCAATCTTGTCACTGGCTTTCATATCCTAAAGAAAAGAAGAAATGATTGGATTCATGTTATAKAATATTTTARTATAATTTCATAAGTGAATATCATAATTCTAGCGSGMTGATTGGTCGAATTTGAYGCTTCAATGAGCGATGTTCAAAAGAGTCATTGAAGTATCAGAAGATTTTACCACAAATTCCAATTTTCCAAGCTGTATTTGAGACTCCATGCATCCAGTGATTTTTAGAGGGTTCAGGTTGTAAATACCTTGAGCTTACGTAGATTATCTATCTTCTCCATTTCCTTTTGTATTGATGCCARGCTTCCACCTAGTTGCTCCATTAAGCCAGGATTAGATTGAATGAGCATCAGAAACATCTGCATTTGCCTGWTGGTAWAAKATTTCAAGATCTGARTCTTCAAGTGTTCAGCTAGACCAAAAGKGAATGTGGAAGGAMATGCAGACACAAATTGTGTTTGCACTGAATTACCTGTCTCCCATTGAAGGCTGCATAGTCTTTTTTAACTCATTTAAAGTCTGACATTGGCTCACAATATATTCAATGACCTCCTTGTTGCTTCAAAAAAAACAATTAGCAAAAATGAATTGCCTGACGGCATAAAGAACATTGCATGTGGTCTTAGAAGATTACAAGACTATCCTTCTTCTTAACWTACTTTTGTTGATTCATGTCATCTCCTAGTGGTTTGACTCTATGCAAACAATTGAATGTGTTGGTAAAGTCTGCTCCTGTTGATCAATTATGGAAAAAATTTAATGTTAATGTGAGGAATGGTCTTCAATTCTGTGTTATAACATGACTGTGTTATAACATGACTCCTACCTGTTTCTTGCATTATATCAAATAGAGATTCAATCAATTCCCTGTGATGAAAATTTTTACAAACTTTCAATGAATGCACAAGTAAAATGAGTCAAAAATGTTCAAATCAACTTCAACCACTTCAAGCACTTACTCATCTTCTTCATAATTTTGATTCAACAGACCAAGCTGTGGTGAAAACAATAATTCAAACAAAGTGAATCAGTGAGAGTTACAGAGATGCCACAGCAAAACAAGTTTGCATGTGAATGGAAAACCTTGTAATTTTAAACTACTAAGTACCTTAAGTCTCATTTTTGACAAGTAAGCAGATTGGTATTCTTTATCATATCTGAAAAGAAATTAGTCCCTTAATAATACACAAAAAATCTTTGAATGATAAAAACATGAATGATTGTCTCTTTTGCATTTTATAAACCACTGAAATGCTTTTTGTACTTACAGTTCTTCCAAAGCAGCCTTTGACCTCTCAAGTGGTAAAGCTCCTTGTATTGCTTCAGCTAGTTTCTCTAGGTTCCACTTACATATCTCAGGCTGAGCTCTGTAGGAATATCTCCCTCTGTCAGAATCTTCAAAGGAAATATAACCATTAAGTATGCATCTTTGGTGGTTATTGAATGATATGCTTGTGTATTGGTCTTTTCTGAATTGAGAAAGGGACTGAGAATGAAAGACCATTCATAAAAGATGCAACCTGTTTCCTTATAGGTGGAGGTGGTGGGAAACACTTTGCTTGGGATGTATATAAATACAGCTTTTCCTTACCAGATTCATTGCATAAATGGTCCTTGTCAAAGTAATCCAGAAACCCAAATGGCCCATAATCTATAGTAACGCCCACGATACTCATGTTGTCTGTATTTAATACACTTGATAGAAACAACAATAAATTAATTCAAAGTTAAGGATTATTGCAAGGAAACTCCTGTTATAACTGAAACCTTTGGGACATAATAATTAGACATGTCTGGTAATATTTAATCACATTACAAAAAGTGCACAAAGTTAGGAGGGTTRTCTGTATTCATTCAACAACTAAAGTTCTGTAATAAAGTTATAGCTCTTACCCATGACAAAAGCCAACACTTTGCCATAAAGCAACAAGCTTGGYTGTCCTGATGACAACCTCTTTGTAGAAAGCTAAGTATTTATCTTCATTGTTATGTGAGTGAGCATCGTGAATCTGAGGACAAAAGAAAGAAAAATGATGATTGAAGATGAAACATCTAAGATGYATTATCCATACTTAAATCAAATTATTCAAATTGTTCAAGAATCATGAAGTATGMCTGTATCAACTCAATAAACAGGCATCCAAAATACCTCAGTGAAAAATGTCTTGATTGTATAATCCAGCATTTGATGCAGTATGTCCATTTTACCTACGCTTGGCCCTTTACGTCCAGTGATTCTGTCTGWTGGTTTGAATATTTCAAAGGAGCCAAACCTGAAGTAACATTAATTGACATAATTTTCAATTTTCAAGCTTGAAAGAAATCTGAGAATTGCCATATGGTTTATACGTCAATATTATTATCCACTAAGACTACATAACTTTTTCCCATAATTTTTTATAAACGCCTTATATAGCATAGTAAGTTTGATAATCTGGATGTGCTATAACCATAACGCATAATTTCTCAAATTTCATTGTCTGAAAAGATTTTACAGTGTTACCAGTAGTGTAAATTCAGCATTACCTTAAAAATGTTGGTGCCATTCTCATGACTATAGTAGCTTTCTCAGCTATAGTATTGCCATTATAAAATATATCCCTTGGTACCACTGTGTCTGATGTTACACAAGATCCAGCTATAAGGTAAACCAAGAAAAAGTGGTGCTACAGCTATAAATTTGTTAAATTTAGTTTAATCAATATACAATTATTCTGTAGGTACAAAATGGTCTTACCTCTGGTTGTTGGGATTCCAAGATGATGCATTGCCTGTCAAAAATTAAAGTTCACTAATAATTCCTCAAATTATTAATACAGAGCTACTTTAATAAAGGTGGTGGGAACTAGCAGTAAACTAGTGTGAGCTGCGTTGGTGTTTCTAAAGAAACAGTTCTGTAAAAAGATAAATTGAGCACCGTAAAAAAGTATGTGAAATCACCTACTGACGTTTCGGACGTTAATCCTTCGTCGGAGTAAAGAGATGGAACTAGGTATAGTGTGAGTTTATATAGTAAGAGTAGCAAAGAAAATAGACCAACAGGAGCAAGGTAGGCAAGGTAACGAGAAATAAACAAAAAGAGCAAAGGAAGTGTTTAGACAAAAGAACAATAAAGKTGCTAAAAAGGGAACAAAGGATATAACACTTATCTGAAAACAAAGCGTTCATTCAACGAGGTACTTATAATCAACTCTAAGTTTATTTTGCCATTTTTCATTCTACACATCTTTTTCAAAGGTGCCATAATGCTATAATGTTGAAATATAAGATAGATCACCTCGCTGCAGAGAAATTCTCTAATACTTGATCTTAGAACCTTTCTACCATCTGCATGTCTAGAATATGGAGTAAGACCAGCTCCCTTTAACTGAATTTCCCATCTCTCTCCCTGCTTATTAATAACCTCGCCAAGATAACTGGAATATAGATATCAAACAAAATAATAATACCATTATTCTGCATGTACTCAAAACATTTTGCAAAAAGCTGGCAGAAAACAAAACATCTGCTGTAATATTTTATTACACTATAAAATGCAAAAGTTCAAAAATTGTCCTTCACGGGCTATATTGGTTCTTTCAGAGCAAAGCATGGGCTATATTGGTTCTTTTAGAGCAAAGCACGGGCTATATTGGTTCTTTCAGAGCAAAGCATGGGCTATATTGGTTCTTTTAGAGCAAAGCATGGGCTATATTGGTTCTTTCAGAGCAAAGCAAGATGACTAATGAGTGAGCAATAATATAAACCTTTTCTTACATCTACAGAAAATTATTAAGAGGTAATTAATCTATTATTGCAATATGTCACCAGTAATCGCACTTTGCCTATTATTATCATGAAAAAAGTTATTCCATCAATCTGATGGCACTTCATTGCAATATCATTATTAGCCATAACATGTGGCAGAATCTCCTTCAACTCATGATTCATCAACAATTAGACAATTAGAATTTGTGATGGCCCATAGCCAAGATAGATACTTTGACACATTTTTGTCATAAAAAATCTATTATGATATTCTTTTATTACAAACTAACATTGCTGCTCCRTCGCCAAGCTGTCCAGAAAAGTGTCCAAATTGATGTCCACAGTAACAGTGTGCTGCWGTCTTWGAGCCTGGCAGTAGTTTGTTACCAGAAAAGAATTCTGCAAAATCTTTCCTCTGAAATTCATTCTCTGACAGATCAATCAATGATAATGCGCTATGAGATGCAGCTACAGTAATTGGGTTCTTGACAGGAGTAGGATCCACAAGAGAGAAACATGCACCAGAAACCTGTCAATATAAAAATAGTACATTTTCAGTAATAAATAAAATATTTTCAGTTATTTCACATGACAGTGCCTGTGCGCAATCTAAGAAGACAAGCAAGCTACTACAATAATCAATTTTGGGGTTGTACTAATATCGTCTGCAAAGGAGGCTACCAATGATGATAATTAATTAATTAATTCATAATCAATATGCTAATTAATAAATGACTAAATCATTATCAAACATCAATGCATGATACTGTTGTGGCAATATGAATAAGAAAACTAAAAAACTATTTAAACTACACATTTGACAGATATCATAGCAAGCTAAGTGGCTCTAGTGTACCTGTCTGACAAAGTTTTCTTTCTCTTGATCCAARGGAAGAGCTCGCAAAGCTAAGTTGTCAAAGTGTAGGGATTCCAGGGTCGCCATCTTGCAGTTACGTAATTTGGCATTCATCCATCGACTTGTGCATTCTAGCAATCTATTAAAGCGAAATGTAGAAGAAATCATAAAAGTAAAAGCTCTTAAATCAGGTCAAATACATTTGCCTTTCTTAAGTTGTTTACTTYTAAAACAGAAATTTGACTTAGAGTACAAAGTACATCTCGTCCGCACTTTTACGATCCAGCGGAAGTCATGGCTAGATCTGGTTGTTTCTCGATTCGTGATTGGTTGAAAATGACGGAGCACGTGTTTTCAAAAACTCTAATAATTATTTAGAAACCGTAACTTTTTGGTTATCAAAAAATTAATTTCAGCACTTATGCACATGTGAACAAAATGATGATATGTTGACGAGTATTGTACGTAATGCATAATATCATTTGTTTCATATGCACTGAACTGTAAAAAGGTGAGTTTCTGCATGGCAAATGCTTCATGGGTAACCAGGACACATTCAAAGTAGCCATGACCAGTTCTGTTCTAAATGATCAGAAAAGCCAAAAAAGAAAAAAAGAAATTTAGGAGGTGATCTTTCTGCTTCCTCCCATCCTAGATGCCCGGGTTTCAGAGGCAGATTTAGGAGAAGGGCAAGTGGGCGCGGTCCACTCTTTTGCTGAACAAATACGTAAAAAAATTAAAAATGCAACAAGAAAACATTGAAAAATAAAATAACTCTAAAATTTGATGTTGTGCCAAGTCTTTCACAATGCGCGAAAGCACTCCCCAGGGAACCCAAAAGTACAAATYGAAGCCACGTCACGAAAGAACCTGGAAACGAGGCAGAGTAGAGCATGCGTGTTTCTATTCGAATTTCCCGACATAATCATTATTCCACCACCRAAAAAATGTTGTTTTTCGGGAATATTCCCTAAAATTCATTCCTGTTCGTAAGGAATGGACATTGTTTAAACGGGAGAACAGCTAAAGACTTCAAAAACTCCTCAACTGATTGATTAAGTGCGCGTCTTGGCCAGCTATGGGACTGCTTTTCTCGTATTTCTTTCGGTGGTTCAGTAATGAAGGTCAGTACATTTCGACACTAAAACAACGTTATTCATACTGTAAACGAGCGAAGACTTCTATTTTTCATGTTGGTATTATATGTTGAAGTAGAAGAATGTAATCTTGTTTTAAAATATTTACAACAGAAATTGGAGACCATGTAATACGCGAGTTATATTTGCTATTAAGCTTAAGTAAAGTTGATCTTTGATTTCTAAAATATGACGTACAAAAATAATCGACGCTTTGTTTTGAAGCCCACGAGAAGTTTCCATCCTACGTAKTCTCACGTATCAGTTCACCATTTCGTAATGGGTAAACACCGATGATACTCAACTTCAAAATTGTTCTTCCTAATTAAAACTTGCAGTACAAAACTTGTACTCTCCTCAACGATTATATAAGAACAGACCCTTGAGACATTTATACCTTAAATAATATAATCAAATTAGAACTACAGCTAATTTTTATTAGCTTTTACTATTTCTGTGTCAGTACATATTTTGTACATTTTCAAGCAATTTTCATATATTAGTTTGATACGAAATTTTGCCTTAGGAACAACTCTTTGYATATAAATATTGGATTGTTTATGTAGTGATATAGTGCATGTGAAAGGTCTATATTTCAAAATATTGAAACAGTCAACACTTTTATTATTTGTATGTGGCTTATTATAGATATGCAGACATGTCTTTAGCAAAACCACAGTGAGAAATTCATAGCTTTAAGATCCACCCCTACACAATTCCACTTATAAAACTTAAGCTTTATTTATAAGATATCCGGTCTATACTTATCTATACTAAGACAGTAGTCATTTACATATCACTTTTACTTGTAGGCAGACTGTGAGAATGGTACATAAATGAGTGAAAATACAGTTTGATCAAAACTTTGCACTTTATGATATCATAATAATTATGAACCCTTTAGATAAGGCCTATATGCATCAGGGCACAAAATAGGATCTGGTGAATGGACAGTATTCAAATCTAAAGTCAGCTTTTATAGCTGGTTAAGATGCTCTGGACAGTCAAACATTGGCTATTTTATGTCAGATGTTGTATCCAGCCACTCAATCACCTGCCATTATTTTGGCCCTGTATTTAGAGTATTTTGACTTTGTCTTTTTGTTAGTACTGGCAAGGGGTGCCATTCAAATGCTTTACTTTTTGAAGTACTGGTAACCTATTAAATCTGCAATCAAAAGCATTATCTTAAGTTAATATTAAAGTTCAGCATACTAAGTACTTATGCCCTGAGATCTTTTCCGTTTTCAGAACACAAAGTTATTATTGTTGGACTGGACAATGCTGGCAAAACAACTATTCTCTATCAATTGTAAGTGCAATRATAAAAATAATTCCTCAAAGWTKTGYATCAACATGTAATCCCAACAATTGTTTTTTAACAGTTTGATGAATGAAGTYGTGCACACATCGCCAACAATAGGGAGCAATGTAGAAGAGGTAATGCTGACAAAACTATCAAAGAGCTTTCCATCCATTATAATTAATAAGGGAGAAAGTATAAGTTAAAAATCCCAGCGGTCGGAAATTAATTTTTCCGAATTTATTCCTAAGGGACTTCTCCCGGAATTGCCTCCTTCTAAGCACTATAACTTTCTTTCATTTCTATATCATGTTTATCATAGTGCCATGCGGTCTTCATATTCATATCTTTAAGTTAAAAACTTTGTCTTGCTTTTATTTTTGTAGATTGTATGGAAAAATATTCACTTTATCATGTGGGATATTGGAGGACAAGAGTCATTAAGAGCATCATGGAATACTTACTATGCACATACACAAGTGAGTTATAATGCCAATAATATGCACACACTAACAGTCAAATGCTAATAACTGACATTGGTGCTTTTGCTCCTGTCAGTCATCAAACCTCCTCTCTTCTCTTCTCTGCACTGCTTTCAAGGCCCCCATCAAAATATCAGTTTACTAAGTCCRAAAAACAGATTGGTGTACCAATCTATCCATGGACTTAAATTCTAAAAATATTCATTTCCTAATCCAAAATGATGTGCTGATCTGGATTGATATTATATATGTTGGTTTAGCTGAGTAAACAAGGGCAATGTTTAACTTTTCTTTTCTTCAGTTTTTAATTTTAGTTATTGACAGTACAGACAGGGAAAGACTAGCSATTACAAAAGCAGAATTATACCAAATGCTTGCCAATGAAGTAAGTAATTTCTCTTTAGTATTCAACAGCTACAACAACAGAGGTTTTGCATGGTCATTTCAAATGACAATGCAGATTAATACTGGTGGTTGAAGGAGAATATTGGCATTGCCATGCTTTTCTCTCTTTTTTGCAGATCGTAAGGGTGGCTGCTTCATATTATAATATACGTATCATCACATCAAACCAATAGTCTTTTTGTTTCTTTTTAGGAACTAAAGCAAGCTGCAGTTTTGGTCTATGCAAATAAACAAGATATTTCGGTGGGTTTGAAATGATGAATATTTGTGCATATTAATTCTTSTTCTGTAACTCTGTTATGTCTGTAAAACTGGCATTATTTCAATCATCATGCAATCGAAAAAACACACAAGTAAACAAATCATGCTAGTGCATAGTGACATCCCAKAGACTAAGGCTCCAGGCAATTACTTCCCAGTCTGAATCATTCAACCTAAGATGAGCCACTGMAATTAGAGGAGGTCATGCTGGCTATTTGATAATTTCTAATGGTGTAGTTTCTATTGTCTGTCAGGGTTCAATGTCAGTAGCTGACATATCAGAACAGCTAAATCTGGCTAATATCAAGGATCATGGTTGGCATATACAGGTAGCTAATAATATAATGGAGTTATATTCCTTTTGCAACTACTTGGCATTTTTATTTGATCTTCAAGTTACTTTTTTAACACATCATTGCTTCAACAAGCACATCTAGATATATTTTTGTACTTAGTCTTTTCATTTTCTCTTCTTTCAGCCTTGCTGTGCTTTAACTGGAGAAGGGTAAGTCAGAAAATTTGTCTTTTATAAACTTATACTAACATTAAAGTATCCCAACCAACCACAATACAGCACATGCTCTTGTTATAGTTTACATACATTTAAATGCATCAAACATGCAATGAATTATAGATTGATAGTACCTGTGAGGTACTTAGTTAAAGGTATTTCCGTCCAAACTGAAAGGATGGAAGGCAATTCTAAATGACAATGGTAATGACAAATCTGTCATTTTTGTGTCCATTTGTGTGTCCTTAAATGGCACTTCGGCTCGCAATGTATAGCGGTTGGTTGTTGTTTTTTAAATTGATACAGAAAAATGTATTGAGCTCATTTGTGTATGAAATAATGGTAATACTACAATAAACACAACACAATAATGTTCTCTCTRTTTCAGGCTTTACCAAGGTCTTGAGTGGATAACTTCACAAGCAAGGAAATGATGTATATTTTTTAGAATATGATAGTTTATTTTATAAATAAGAACTTCCTTTATCTAGGTATTATTTCATTTTAACCATACAAGCATAATTTAAGTGATAAGGAACAAGGATTCTTCACAGGGATAGCTTATTTTCTTCAGGATTTGGTTGGCTCTAATGTTCWCAACTTACAGTTACCCAAATATTAAGAGGAAAATGTTAATAAATTCATGAAGTTTTTAAGAGCAAAGAAATAGACTCTTACCAAATTTCATTTAACGTCGTATTTTATGGCCACCTGCAAATATTAGGGAACCTCAGATTTGACAACGAGTACGAGATTGAGTACGAGCACGAGTTTTAATAATTGGCCTTAAGTGTGCTATTAATCATWTGAATTGCATTCCTGTTTTAATAGATTGAAACATCAAGAAATAAAAACAGAGAACTCAATAAAAGCTGGTTTGGAAACTCATACTTGTACTCAATCTCATWCTCGTCAWATCTGAAGTTSCCCTATTATTTTTCATCTGAACTGAGTYGACAGATTTACAAGGATTTTTATAARATTCTTATATCTTGTTTACCAATAGCACCAAGACACTGAAATTGGCAAAATTGTATAAGAACTGTCTTTCTCTCAACAACAGTGATATTTTGAAAAAATATATGAGATTTTGTTTATGTGATATTATTACTTTAGGACCCTAGTTGCAGTCCCTTATGAAGGGTAGATATAAAGTCTTAAGTTCATATGCATACAAACAATCATGTAMACTTTCTAATAGAACAGGTTATCTAGTCACTTTTTGTCACCTCTTTGAAAGAAAATCAGTGTGAGATCTAATTGGCTAACTTTTTGCTATTTCTGATTCCACCCAATTCAATGTTGATTTTTTATGAGTGGGAAATGATACATTAGTGACATTTGTGGTATCTATTGAAGATATATTGTCTCARTGAATTCATGTTATAGTTAGCTGTTAGTCATAGAGATATCTCATATTTGTTTCTTATTCATACAAAATCAACTCTGAGGACTTTTTTCCTCCAAGAAGTAACATAAAGAAGTGGCCCTTATGCTCTTTAGGAGTAAGTACATGGTATTGAGTGAGAATTATGTATTAGCACATAGTTAGTAGACTGTCTCCCTCTACTAACTATGATAAGCAACACTAGCCAATTCTGTCTTCATTTATAAACTTACTACATTTGACACAGTGACTGCTGTTATAAATCCTAAACTTTCTATATTGCCATAGTAGTTGTTTTTGGATTCTAGATATACAGTCAATTACAAAATGTTTGGGGATTGAGATGTACTTATGCAATTATAATTATGTAGAGGCATTAAATTTGAAATGCAGAGGTAACATCCAACATTGATCCTCATGATTTTTGAAGATGGATTTTGTAAATGGTACACTTGATTTATCAAAAGGTGTTCATTTTATATTTCTGTTGCTCAGTTTAATTTTAGGAATGTCTTTAATAATGCAATATTCATTCCCTGAAGACTTTGGTTGGGTTACTGTATCTCATTACACATTTTGAATCTTGTATCCATGATAAGTACATCAATGCAATGCAAAACCTTTTTAAAATTGWCTGTATAATTTTATTAGTTATTGCTTATCATTATAGATCCTTTCAGTAAAAACCAATGTTGTATAGTATTGAATTTATGATGATGAATTATCCAAATACCTCTGTAAATGCAATTTTTAATTCCAATTAAAATTGTTCATCAAACATTTTGAAAAAAAATATTCTGTATACCCTAGCATTTATCTGGCAACACAGTCTCTTTAACTGACTGCATGTATGATGTAGGGCAATCAAATTAATCTGATACTGGAAAACACCCCCCTGTCCTACTAAATTTCTWTTAGACTTGCTACAAGTCAGACTCTTTGGACCCAGAAAAAGGAAGAATAGTCCTCATTCTCCATTTTAGGGTTTGAAATCAGTGTTCATAGACAACTGAGTTTTACGTTCCCTTGTATATAGTAAGAAGGCCCAATGGTATATAAATTCTGTCCCTTTTTTTCTTCATGTCTTTCTTCCTTCTCCTTTGTATTCCAAGTGGCAAATTTCTAAACAATAGTTAGTTATGCATTCCAAGTGGCAAATCGGTAAAATATAATTGGTTGACACTGAGTACCATATATATGAAGACAAGAACTACAAGTTAGCCAATATATAGTTCATATAGGGCAACAAAATCTAATTCTCGGTTGGGCTTCCTGTCTAAAATCGCCGAAAGGACTTCTGGGATTACACCGGCCATTTTGTTTGTAACTCACAAGATGGCGGCCATACGCGGTTCTTTCAAGCTTCTTCGACCATGGCTTATAATGCTTTTGATGGTGCTTGTCGTATTCATTAACTACATTACGGCAAGTCAGAAAGTACCTGAACCAGCAAGTGACTCTTCCAATGACTTTGCGGAGTTTGAACAAGAAGGAGACGACGACGAAGAAGAAGCCCCGGCAGAAGGTGATGGAGATACGCCTGAAGTACCAACTACTGCTGCTCCTSCTCAGCCAGAACAAGGTCAGTGATTACAAACACTAGTATGTCTCGTGAATTTTTATTGTTATACTGTGCTATTAGATATGTGTATAATTTTGAGCGCGTTTGATTTGAATACTATTAAAGTACGTGATTTCATTCGAATGAAAATCATCTGTCTCACAGCAATGCAACATCTGATAGCGTTTAATCAGATAAGTGCTGCTTAATTCATTCAAATGATTGTCTTATATTTTACATGGTAAATGTTTTAATCGGCGTACGTCGTCGTGAGGAATTTAGACTTTGTATTCTGATGCTATGTGCTGGTGAATAAAGCCAGGAATAGAAGTGATCAGTTACCTCTCACGTGTTGTAGAAGAATKATGAACTTTTTTCAAGGTTGAATAAGTAAAGTCACCTCTTTTCTTTTAAAAACGATATCTATTAGACAAAATCCATTTACGAAACTGAATATCTTTTAGTCGGTCATTACAATGACCCTAAGTTGGATTTGTAAAGAATGTTTTTGAATACTTAATGAGTCCAAACTACTGACTTGCTACTTTTCAAAAGAAGCATTAAAAATGTAAAGAAATAATCAAAAACATCCATGGTTGCTTGAGAACAGTATAACAGTATAGTAGCTTTCAGAGTGCATATTGAYAACMAGAGGGAATTTGTCTTTTATAATGWRT